CTTTCTATCTCCTCCCCTCCTCACACCCGGTCTGGCTTACAGTTTCGTTCCAAGACTAGCCCTCCCCAACCTGCCCAACAATTTCCTCTTAGAGAGGTGGCTGGAGCTGAAGGCATAGTCAGGGTACGTGTGCCTTTTTCTCTATCAGACCTTTCCCAGATCAGCCAGCGTTTAGGCTCTTTCTCATCAGACCCCACTAAACACACACAGGAATTCCGATATCTAACTCTGTCCTACAATTTAACCTGGAGTGACTTAAATGTCATCCTAACTTCTACCCTCTCCCCAGATGAATGGGAAAGAGTTTTTTCTCTAGCCCAACCTCACGCCGATAACCGCCGGCTTCATGAGCCAGACCTCCAGGAAGGCATTAGAGCAGTTCCCCGAGAAGATCCCCAGTGGAACTATCAGGTATCAGGCGAGATTACATGGTTTCCTGCCTAGTTGAAGGGCTTAAAAGGCAGCTTACAAAGCTGTTAATTATGACAAACTTAAAGAAATTACCCAAGGTAAAGAACCCAGCCCAGTTCACAGCCTGCTTAGCAGCAACCCTTAGACGCTTGACCGCCCTAGACCCAGAGAGGCTAGAAGGCTGCCTTATTCTTAATATGCATTTTATCACCCACTAAACTCCCGACGTTAGAAAAAGCTCCAAAAATTAGATTCCAGCCCTCAAACCCCACAACAGGACCTAATTAACCTCACCTTCCATGTGTACAATAATAGAGAAGAGTTGCAATTACTTGCCTCCGCTGTGAGAGAAACCCCAGCCATATCTCCAGCACACAAAAACTTCAAAATGCCTAAGCCACAGAGGTCAGGCATTCCTTCAGGTCTTCCTCCCCCAGGATCTTGCTTCAAGTGCTGGAAACCTGGCTACTGGGCCAAGGAATGCCCGCAGCCTGGGATTCCTCCTAAGCCGTGTCCCATCTGTGCAGGACCCCGCTGGAAATTGGACTGCCCAACTGGCCCAGGGTTCTGAATGACTGCTTCCCAAATCTTCTTGGCTTAGCGGCTGAAGACTGACACTGCCCGACCGCCTTGGAAGCCTCCTGGACCATCACAGACGCTTTGGGTAACTCTTACAGTGTAGTTACAGTCCGTCCCCTTCTTAGTTAATACGGAGGCTACTAACTCCACATGACCTTCTTTACAAAGGCCTTTTTCCTTTGCCTCCATAGCTGTTGTGGGTATTGATGGCCAGGCTTCTAAACCTCTTAAAACTCCCCAACTCTGGTGCCAACTTAGACAATACACTTTTAAGCACTCCTTTTTAGTTATCCCCATCTGCCCAGTTCCCTTATTAGATCGACACATTTTAACTAAATTATCTGCTTCCCTGACTATTCCTGGGCTACAGCCATACCTCATTGCCACCTTTTCCCCTAGTTCAAAACCTCCTTCGCATCCTCTCCTTGTATCTCCCCATCTGAATCCACAAGTGTATAGGATACCTCTACTCCCTCCTTGGCGACAAATGATGTACCCCTTACCATCCCATTAAAACCTATCACTCTTACCTCGCTCAACACCAGTATCCCATCCCACAGCATGCTTTAAAAGGATTAAAGACTGTTATCACTCGCCTGATACAGCATGGGCTTCTAAAACATATAAACTCTCCTTAGAGTTTCCCCATTTTACCTGTCCAAAAACCAGACAAATCTTACAGGTTAGTTCAGGATCTGCGCCTTATCAACCAAATTGTTTGGCCTATCCACCCCATGGTGCCAAACACATATACTCTCCTATTCTCAATACCTCCCTCCACAACCCCTCCATAACCCATTATTCTGTTCCGGATCTCAAACATGCTTTCTTTACTATTCCTTGCACCCTTCATCCCAGCCTCTCTTTGCTTTCACTTGGACTGGGTACTCCCAATTCTTAGTCCTTTAATACCTGTTTTTCTCCTTCTCTTATTCAGACCTTGTATCTTTCATTTAGTTTCTCAATCCATACGAAATCGCATCCAGGCCATCACCAATAATTCTATATGACAAATGCTCCTTCTAACAACCCCACAATATCACCCCTTACCCCAAAATCTTTCTTCAGTTGAATCTCTCCCACTGTAGGTTCCCATGCCTCCCCTAATCCTGCTTGAAGCAGCTCTGAGAAACATTGCCCATTATCTCTCCATACCACCCCCAAAAATTTTCGCCGCCCCAACACTTTACCACTATTTTGTTTCATTTTTCTTATTAATATAAGACAGGAATGTCAGGCCTCTTCACGTGGACGTGTGAGACAGTAAGTAAGGGGATAGGCAGGGAGGGATGAAATGTACACTGAAAATTCAAAGCCACGAGCTAAACATCACAGAGGTTTGCTGCTTCAATTCATGAAGGTAGTCTAAAATAACTCATTTTGATAATCTAGTTTAAAAGTTATATTTTTAAATATAACAAAGTTTTCATCAGGAAAATGTATGCATTCTAAACATATATATCTACTGACACACCTCACAATAAATGAAGCAAAATTGACAGAATTATAAGGAAAAGTACAAAAAAATCCATATAGTGGGAGATTTAACACGTCTTATTTGTTACCTGACAGATCAAATAGACAAAAAAATAACTAAGGCTACAGAAATCTGAATAGAACTAACAAGACTGATTTTACAGGGAAATTTGCACACTCTCAAACTGTAGGACACATATTGTTTTCAAGGACATATGAGACATAATTACTACAAATCCCAATATAAAGGCCACATCCCAGACCAATGAGATCAGCATCTCTGGAGAGGGGACCCAGACATCCACATTCTTAAAGATCTATAGGTGATTCCAATATGTAGCCAAGGTTGCAAATCACTGACACAGAGAGTCATTTCTAACCCTCAGTGCTTCTATCAGAAAGTAAGGAAGGATGAAAATTAATAATCTGGAAAGTCTATCTTAGGTTAGAACAGAACAGCCAATAAAGCCCAAAAAATTAAGGGGAAGAAGAAAAAAGAGCAAATAATGACATAGAAAACAAACATACAATACAGATGACCAAGTAAACTGAAAGCATATCTTATACCTTCCCCAAAAAACAACTCCAGGCAAACCAAAAAGTTAAATGTGAAAAGCAAAACTATAAACACTTTAGAAGACAGTATATGAGAATATATCTATCATTTTGGTATGCAAAGAATGTTTAAAACCAGAAACAAAATCATAAACCATAAAGAAAAAGGTTGACAAATTTGACTGTATTAAGTTTAAGAATCTTGTTAAATCAATATTTGCAACATACATAACTGAAATATATGAAGAACTCCTATGAATCAGAAAAAATTGACAACCCAAAAGAAAATGGGCAAAAGGCACTTCAGTGGAGTGGAATCCAAATGCCCAATAGGCATATGAAAATTTGCTCAACCTCACTCATAATGAGTGAGAGGCAAAGTAAAAGCACAATGAAATATGACTTCCTAGCTTCCTCAGCCTGTGCTCTCCCTCCCGTCCTCAAGGGTCTGCTCCTTGCCTCTTCCACATAAGTACTGTCCTGCTACTCCAGTGATTTTTTTCCCACTCTATCAGTTACTGACTTTTCCTCCTGTATGTTCAACCTCTCCCTTTCTTTTGACCCCTTCACAGCATAAAAAATTGTTCAAGTATTTCCCATATATTAAAAAAAAATCACTCCCTCGATACCGTATCTCGTTTTCCAAATTTACGTACCCAAGCTTATTAACCTTCACAATCACCAGCCATACGTTGAACGACTGCCTTATTATACTGCTACCCTTCAGAGCCCAAATTCTCAGGATTGTGTTTGATCCTCGTTGTCTCCATCACAGGCTTCCATCCATTAGGCCACCAAAATGCTCCCTCTCACCATGTCACTGCACACACATGGCCGCCCTCCCTGACAGTACTTCCAAGCTGCTGTGCTATGAGCTTCTCCTCTTTCACCACCTCACAGACATTTCTTCTCAATATTTTTCTGCTGCTTCTTCCTAAAACGTCCCTGGAGTGCTCTTCTCAGCCTCCTTCTCCTCTACTCTTGTTCTGAACATTCTTCCTTTGTGATCTTATTCCTCTTACTTTTCATTTCTACTTATGAGCTAAGGATTTCTGAATCTGTATCTCCAGTATGTGCTTGATGCACAGTAGGTACTTTAAATAATGAAGCTTCCTATTAAAAAGGGTCAGCACAGAGTGTGATTAAATGCCTAGTTTTAGCATTAAGACATGGCATGTTTAAGCAAAAGTACTTACGATTAAAAAAAAAAAAACTGGGTATAGCATGAGTTTATTCAATACCAGATTTTGCTAAGAGAGAAAAATTAGAACAATTTAAAAACAAATGGTTGGCAAGAATCTTTGCCTATGGAACAATAGTACTTATAAGATAAAAGTCTTTCTACATTGATAGAACCCACTGTATTTTTCATTTTTTAGGAACTGTGTGCAATGATTTAGAGTAGGGGTTGGTAAGCCTGACCTGCAGGCCAAATTTGGCCCACCATCTGTTTTTGCAGATAAAGTTTTATTGGAACATATACATATCCATTCAATTACCCATTGTCTGTGGCTGTTTTCATGCTACAATGGCAGGACTGGGCAGTTGCAACAAAGATTGTATGGCCCACATAGCCTAAACTATTTGCTGTCTTGTCATTTCTATTAAAAGTGTGCCAGTCTTGACAAAGATCAGGCCTTTCTATTGTTAACATATCCCTTTAAAATGATAAGTGGTATAAGTTATATTTTCTAAGAGTAAGGATAAATCCTGGATGTGAGAAAGCCCTCCCCATCCAGGTATGAAAGCAGGTGGGTTTTATGGTAAATAAGAACTACTTTTCTCTGAGACTTAGTTGAAAGAACTACATTGATATCACTAAATGTATTACTTTAACTGGCTTAAATAATCAGAGGCAGAAAACAGTTGTAATATTTGGTAAGATCTCATCCCCTAGGATGACTTAAGTAGGGGGAATGTGGATATTGAAGCTTCCAGAAAAGCAACACAATCAACACGAAATCCACTGGGATTCTTGCCTTGTCTGCAGGTGTTAACCTGGCCCAGGGCTTGTCTGCTCGGCGGTCATAGTCGGGAGAATCTGTGACTTCTACATACTCGTTAAATCGCAGGATCCTTCGAGCTTGTAGCTCTGCCACTGTGGGTCTCAGGCTGAGCTGCAGGAGGACAAGGAAAAAGGCAGAGTTCAGTAAACCGCTTACAGCCTCATGGTGGCAAGTATTCTATAGAGAACACTTCAAAGTTATGGTTAAATAAGGTCACTTTCAGGCATCAAAAAAAAAAAAAAAAGGCAACAGCATCTTGGGAATTTCTAATGAGAACTAGAAAGCCGTGTGCCCTAATTTTTGAGACTATAAAAAATCATCGTTTCAGATAGGTCACAGTCTTTGGCAACTACCTGCATTATGCTATTTTCCCCAACTTGCCTGGCACTGTGATAAAGGTCTATCATCCCTGACGCAAGGAATATGCAATGCACAGACACAATAGTAACCCAGATACAGAATGGCTGGTTTCGTGATTGAATTATCAAGGCAAAAGCCATGGATTGAATTATCAAGGCAAAACTTCAAAAGTTTTTCTAAAAAACTTTTAGAAATAGGAATAAAAGCCTGTTCCTATAATATTAAACCCATACACTCAGAAATGTACAAAGTTATGACATACAGGCCAGGTGCCGTGGCTCACGCCTGTAATCCCAGCACTTTGGGAGGCCGAGGCAGGTGGATCACGAGGTCAGGAGATCGAGACCATCCTGGCTAACACAGTGAAACCCCATCTACTAAAAATACAAAAAAAAAATTAGCTGGGCGTGGTGGCAGTCACCTGTAGTCCCAGCTACTCGGGAGGCTGAGGCAGGAGAACGGTGTGAACCCAGGAGACGGAGCTTGCAGTGAGCCAAGATCGTGCCACTGCACGCCAGCCTGGGTGACACAGCAAGACTCTGTCTCAAAAGAAAAGTTATGACATAGAAAGGGTCCAATAAAGGGTATGCCTACAGCACAGCTGTCCTTAAGATATTCATAATAAGGACAAGGCCCCAGTAGGACACCTGCCCTTGGCCAGAAAAACCAATGTACAGGAATGGGGAGGGGAGAGTTGATGGAGAACTGTACTTCCTTGAGACCATCACTGCTTAAAATCAACTCCAACCTTCAAGATACTTCTAACAACTTGGGTCCCTCCTCCTTGTGGTCTTCGCCAGATTCAAATTTGTAATTATATTGCTTTTCTCTCTGGTTCCTTTCTCAAACCGAAGAATAAGATTCTGACAGGTGAAAGAAAGCTGGCCCCCTGGTAAACAGGCATTATCTACTCTCTGTGACAGAGGTTCACTCCCATTTTGGTTTTTCTCAGTTGGGCGGTATCACAGTTATCTCCAGAGAGGTAGACTTAGACCTCTATTGTAGTCATAAGGCCCATTTTCATATATTTTCTCTCTCATATATACTCTGTATACAGCCAGACTACCCATCATCTAAGTGTTCCTCTTTGGAGATACTGCTTATTTATTTTTTTATTTGAACAGAATGGGGGGTCTCTCTATGTTGCCCAGGATGGTCTTGAACTCTTGGGCTCAAGCAATTCTCCCATCCCAGTCTCCCAAAGTGCTGGGGTTACAGACATAAGCCACAACACCTGTCCAGAGATACTCCTTATTTTGCACTGGGTCTACATTCTGTAGTCATTAACAGCCCTTTCCTGGGCCTCAGTTTCCTTCTGAACTAAGCCAATATTCTAACATTCAAAGCACTCAAGGACTTTTAGAAGGCCTAGGCCCATACCCTGAGCCCACTTGAGCAGGGATGTGCCAACTATGGCTCCCTCTATCTTCATAGAGCCCTGGTAGGCAATGGACAAGAGAGAGAATAATCTAAGTGATCTGTTATAGTCTAGTTGCTGTCCAATCTATATTGCTATCTTCTTGCTGCCACTTTGGGGCAGGTGGAAATAAGGAGGTAGAGAAGCCCTTGCTCCCAAGAACTGGCTAGAAGGAAAGTGACCAGTGGCAACATAGGTTAGAAATTCTCCATCCAGTCTTGTCCTCAGGACTGTCCCAGTCATGAGGTAGCTACCAAATGCTACGGGCTGACCTGCACCTACACCATGGAGCTATGTATGGTGGAAGCAAGTGGGTGCAGAGGGTAAGGGCAGGCACTGCTGCCTCATGGAGGGGCCCAGCTGGATTGAGAAAGATCATGTGTATCACAAGAGTGCCCAGGGCAATGAGGAGGGGTGATTGCTTGTCTACAGATGGTAACTTAAGGGCCATTGAAGACTACAGTCATCCCTAGAAACGGAGTCAATAGTCTTTCAGTTTGATCATTATTTGACATTAATGGGCTTTGAGAAAAAAAAAAGATACAGTTTGGCTGTGTCCTCACCCAAATCTCAACTTGAATTGTATCTCCAGAATTCCCACATGTTGTGGGAGGGACCCAGGGGAAGGTAATTGAATCATGAGGGCTGGTCTTTCCCATGCTATTCTCATGACAGTGAATGAGTCTCCTGAGATCTGATGGGTTTATCAGGGGTTTCTGCTTTTGCTTTCTCCTCATTTTATCTTGCTGCCACCATCTAAGAAATGCCTTTTCTCTCCTGTTAGGATTCTGAGGCCTCCTTAGCCATATGGAACTGTAAGTCCAGTTAAACCTCTTTTTCTTCCCAGTCTAGGGTATGTCTTTATCAGCAGCAAGAAAACAGACTAATACAGTAAAGTGGTACCAGGAGTGGGGTGTTCCTAAAAAGATACTCAAAACTGTGGAATCAACTTTGGAACTGGGTAACAGGCAGATGTTGGAACAATTTGGAAGGCTCAGAGGAAGACAGGAAAACGTGGGAAAGTTTGGAACCTCCTAGAGACTTGTTGAATGGCTTTGACAAAAATGCTGATAGCAATATGGACAATGAGGTCCAGGCTGAGGTGGTCTCAGATGGAGATGAGGAACTGGTTGAGAACTGGGGCAAAGGTGACTCTAATTATGTTTCAGCAAAGAGAATGGTGGCATTTTGCCCCTGCCCTAGAGATTTGTGAAACTTTGAACTTGAGAGAGATGATTTAGGGTATCTGGCAGAAGAAATTTCTAAACAGCAAAGCATTCAAAAGGTGACTTGGATGCTGTTAAAAGCATTCCATTTTAAAAGGGAAATAGAGCATAAAAGTTCAGAAAATTTGCGGCCTGAAGATGCAGTAGAAAAAAACCATTTTTTGAGGAGAAATTCAAGCTGACTGCAGAAATTTGCATAAGTAGCAAGGAGGCTAATGTTAATCCTGAAGACCATGGGGGAAAATGTCTCCAGGCCACGTCAGAGACCTTCATGACAGCTCCTCCCATCACAGGCCTCAAGGCCCAGGCAGAAAAAGTGGTTTTGTGGGAAGGGCCCCGGGTCCTGTGCTGTGTTCAGTCTAGGGACTTGGTGCCCTGTGCCCCAGCCACTCTACCTGTGACTGAAAGGGGCAAATGTAGAGCTCGGGCTGTGGCTTCAGAGAGTGGAAGCCCTAAGCCTTGACAGCTTCCACATGGTGTTGAGCTTGCGGGTGAACAGAAGTCAGGAATTGAGGTTTGGGAACCTCTGCCTAGATTTCAGAAGAGGTATGGAAATGCCTGACTGTCCAGGCCAAAATTTGCCATGGGCAGGGTTAGGGGGGCCTCATGGAGAACCTCTGCTAGGCAGTGCAGAAGGGAAATGTGGGTTTGGAACCCCCACACAGAGTCCCTACTGGGGCACTGCCTAGTTGAGCTGTGCAAAGAGGGTCATTGTCCTCCAGACCCCAGAATGGTAGATCTGCTGACAGCATGTACCATGCATCTAGAAAAGCTGCAGACACTCAACGCTAGCCTGTGAAAGCAGCCAAGAGGGCGGCTGTACCGTGCAAAGCCACAGGGGTGGTGCTGCCCAAGACCATGGGAACCCACCTCTTGTATTAGTGTGACTTGGATGTGAAACCTGGATTCAAAGGATAATTTTGGAGCTTAAAAATTTGGCTGCCCCACTGGATTTCAGACTTTCCATGGGCCCTGCAACCCCTTTGTTTTGGTCAATTTGGAACAGCTCCCATTTGGAACAGCTGTATTTACCCAATACCTGTACCCCCATTTTATCTAGGAAGTAATTAACTTGCTTTTGATTTTACAGGCTTATGGGTGGAAGGGATTTACCTTGTCTCAGATGAGATTTTGAATTGTGGACTTTTGGGTTAACGCTGAAATGAGTTAAGACTTTGGTGGACTGTTGGGAAGGCATGATTGGTTTCGAAATGTGAGGATGTGAGATTTGGAGGGGCCGGGGCAGAATGATATGGTTTGGCTGTGTCCCCACCCAAATCTGAACTTGAATTGTATCTCCCAGAATTCTCCCGTGTTGTGGGAGGGACCCAGGAGAAGGTAATTGGATCATGGGGCTTGGTCTTTCCCATTCTATTCTTGTGATAGTCAAAATGTCTCACAAGACCTGATATGTTTATCAGGAGTTTCCCGGTTTGCTTCCTCCTCATTTTCTCTTGCCGCTGCCACGTTAGAAGTGCCTTTCGCCTCCTGCCATGATTCTGAGGCCTCACCAGTCATGTGGAACTATAAGTCCAATTAAATCTCTTTTTCTTCCCAGTCTCAGGTATGTCTTTATCAGCAGTGTGAAAATGGACTAATACAATGGATAAATAAAGGATCTTTTTTCTTGAAAAACAGAACCACTTTCGACATAGTCCCATAGCTTTTCTGTGGGAATGAAGCATTGCCACCTCCATCTGCCTTGGAATGCTTTTGTTGAAGACTCCCCGATTCCAGCCTACAAAAATGTGGGTCAGGTCACACTTCATGGAGATGTCACATTTTAGTCACTTTATCCATTTTTAGGTGCATAGGGTATGCCTGAAGAATTATTAGAAGGATTTATAATGAAATATAAACTCTGATGGTGCTTGATTTTTTCAAAGGCTATTATTTTTTTAACATAGAAAAAAGTGATGGCTCTAACATCAGATTTATACATTCATAAATAAGTGGCAACAATTGTCTGAGTTTGGCAGGTAAGACATTTGTCAATCTGGGTAGCACTGTAGCAGGCAGGCTGGATATCAAGTTCACTTAATAAATTACTTACCCAGCTGTGATGTGGAATAGTGGGAAATGTTCAGGAGTAACGAAATATTTATTTGTTTAATATTTCCAACACTAAATGGAAAGTGTGAGCATTTTAAGAAATAATTTTTATTATAATTAAAAATTTTTCCACTTCTTTTTTCTTTTTCTTTTATCATTGCTCTAATCAAGCAAGATCGAGATTAATTTTTAATTAATTCTTTTTTTTTTTTGAAACAAGGCCTCACTCCAGGCTGGTCTTGACCTCCTGGGCTCAAGCAATCCTCCTGACTCAGCTTCCAAGTAGCTGGGACTATGGGTGCAAGACACTGCACCTGACTCAAAACAATTTTTAAAAATAGAAATATATGCATTGAAATATTAATAATGGCTATCTGTGAATAAAAGACATACGATTTTATTTTTTTCTTTTTTTGTATCTTTAAAAATTTTCACACAGAGTACATATTTTCATAGAGTAAATGCAATTTAAAACCCTTGTTAATTTTTCAAAATTAACACAACATGCAATTATAAACATCATTTATAGCACGTGCATTATATTTATTTATTTTATTTAGTTACTTTTTTTGAGACAGAGTCTCATTCTGTCTCCCAGCCTGGAGTGCAATGGCACGATATCAGGTCATAGCAACCTCCACCTCCCAGGCTGAAGCAATCTCCCCACCTCAGCCTCCTGAGTAGCTGGAACTACAGGCATGTGCCACCATGCCAGCTAATTTTTGTATTTTTTGTAGAGATAGGGTTTCACCATGTTGCCCAGGCTGGTGATTTTGTTGTCTATGCTTATAGACTAATAGGAATAATTATTTCTAAACATCTGATTTACATATAGAGAGAGGATTAGTATTTTTTTTTAAAAAAAACAAAATATATCTCAAAACACGTATGCTCATTAATAGTCACAACTTCATTACCTTTCTGCTGAGTCTGCGTTTAAGTTCCATTTTTGCTTCTTGTTCCTCTTCTTCATTCTTTTCTGTTTATTAAAGGAGGAAAGTCATGATGACAGTTACTATAGATGATTTTATAATCAGAAAAGTATATCAGGCCACAATCATGTGATTCTAACAAATAATGATCAAACACTTCAACAACATTGTTAAAAAGTTATCGAAAGATTTTGTAGAAAGGTTGATCATCTTATACACACACACACACACACACATGCTTTTTTTGTAGGACTGGTTTGCTTTACTAATTTTAAATGTTTTTGCTTCCTGATGTCTTGTTGTATTCTTAAAAAAACCACAGGAATGCCCATATTCTAATGAAAGCCCTCTATTGTTGATCATCTCATGGGCTTATAAGTACAATTTACCAGAATTCAGATGAAAATTTACTTCTGGATCTGCCCTTCATGTGAAAATCTGAGACATATTAAAAGAGCAAATTAGAACCATCCGATGCATGTCTGAGCTGCTGATTTCCACTCAAATCCAACCAAAATATTTGATTTGTCTTCCTTGGTTTCCATAGAAGCAGAATGTAAGCATTTCCTTGGACTTTGCTTTCAAACCAGAATGTTCTAAATGAGGTTATGATGTACTGTGGGTGGAAATTATTTATTTTCTTGTGACTTTGCCTTTCCAAAGTCTTCTCTTTCTCTAGTGATTCACCAAGTAGTACAATTTTATGCTGCCCAACAGATGGGATTTAAAGAAAAATGTCCAAAATTTTTAAAGAAATAAACACCCCTTCAGGTTTTGCTGGTTGTTGCTTACTTGAGGAACTTCCCTCTGTTGCTTCCTTTAGCTCATCATCTGTTCGATCAATGAGCATACATTTTGCTTCTTGGATACCGATGCTTATGAAAGATTGTGTTTTAGAAAGTGCTATTATGAACTCTTTTGAAGGAAAATAATGCTGTATAAAGGCTTGACTAAAAGGTTGAAAAAGGAAAGCTTCTTCTATTTATTTATTTATTTTTGTTTTTATTTTATTTTATTTTTTGAGACAGAGTCTTGCTCTGTCACCCAGGCTAGAGTGCAGTGGTGCGATCTTGGCTCACTGCAACCTCTGCCTCCCGGGTTCAATGAAAAAAAAATTTTTAATCCATGATAGGTATGAAATATATTTATTTTAAAATTCAAATAGACTTCTTACAACTAAGACTATTTTTATTGTGAATAAAATATCAGTATTCAATATTTGCAGCATCTGTATTTGTTAGCTGAACAGGCTAAATTCTTCATCAGTTTTCCTTCTCTGAACAGGGAAAAGTTTCTATGTTCTTCTGAAATAATAACTTTAATGCATAAGAAAGAAAGAAGGTGATTAGACAACGAGTGAACATAAACTGTAATCACCCACAAGATAAGAAACAATGAGTTAATATCCTTTCATTTTGTGCCAAACAAATTTGTTATAATTTAAATTTCTTCCTACGAAAGTACTGTAGGTTTTTAATTGCTTCACAAAATATATATCCTTTCATATCCTTAAAAATGCACACTTAGGTTCAAAGAATTACCTCATATGAGTTGGATAAAGCTTGTGGATTGTCAAAATACATAATAAACAAAAGCCACACTGTGGTTCCTGTGATTTAAACCAGAGCTTTACAAGGCGACGTGATAGTGAAAATAAAATTGTTGATATTGTTGATAAAAATTGATGATATTGTTAGTGATATTGATGACATTGTTAATAAAAACAAAAATATAATTCTTAAAACATTTTTGTCAACTCTTCCCATACGGTGTTTATGCTATATTTTTAAGGTATTTTTCAAAGATTAAAAAATTGGATATAATACATCCCAAAGCTAATGAATGCTCCAGTCTTCATTAAATATGCAAAAATGACATTTCCTTGAAGGGAATATTTGATAGTTTTGTCTAATTAAGCATATTGTTCAACTAGTGCTACCAGTTAGGGAATTGAATTCATTTTTGACATCAGAAACTGACTTCTTTATGTTTTCCATGTTCAAAATTGTACTTTTAGTGAAGTTAGAGGACGAGGGTGAGAGGTAGAAGGAAGCCAACATGACTGTTCCTCTGAACCTTTCCTTTTATTTTGCAGAGATGGGCTCTCCCTGTGTTGCCCAAGCTTGTCTTGATCTCCAGGACTCAAGTGATCCTCCCGCCTCAGCCTCCCAAGTAGCTGGGATTACCAGCATGAGCTACCATGACAGTTTCTCTGAATCTTATTAAACAGTCATTGTAAAATCTCTCATACAGTCAAGATTAAACCTTAAACTCAGTATTTGAAAATTCACCAAGTTTTTTGCATGCTTCCTTCATTTTTTGATTCACTAGAGGGCTAATTATAAAGTAGGATGTAAATCTTTCCGGTTAATTTAAACAGGCTGGAGGGATACTCATGAAGGAAGTGACATGGTTCATTGACAAATCTTGCTCTCAGTAACTCTCATCAGAATAGAGAGGGGTGAACATTTTGGACAAGCTGCAGGAAGCATTTCCGATAAATAAACAAATAATACATGTGGTTAAACAGCAGCAAGCACCACAGGAAACCTGCCTGGCAAGCAATATTACCCAGAGAATTTTGTGGATGAGCTAAAAGGAGAAGAAAGAAAAATACAAAAATATCAACAACTGGAATATTATCTTCTTGAGTTGTTAGTTCAGGTAAAATGGGTTCAAAAAGCCAAATCTTTTGTAGATTCATTTCTCTTTTTGTTTTTTACATGTTTCCATGTCGATATTTTGTTTTTTCAATTTTTGGTGGAGATGAGATCTCACTATATTGCCTAGGCTGGTCTCAAACTCCTGGCCTCAAGCAATTCTCCTGCCTTGGCCTTACAAGGCTTTGGGATTACAGGCATAAGCCACCTTACCTGGCCTCATGTGGGTGTTTTTAACAAATGAAAAAACACACATAAACTTCAAGTGCATTTAAAAAAGCTGGATCAACAGATGCATAGATATGTCATAAAGCAAGATGTTAATGATAGACTATAGATGGCAGATATATGTGGATTTACTGTAAAATTCTTTCAACTTTTCTTCATGTTTAAAAATTTTCATAATAAAATGTTGGGGAAAAATATATGCAGAACTCAATGGCTTAATTCATTTTTCTCTATATAAGACATAGCTAGAATTACATTCTCAGCTAAATACATCACCTTTCTTAATTAGCAAAAGTTGACCTTTTAAGTACCAAAACTTGCTTTCTATTTTATCAGTTTTTAGGAACTGGTTCTAAAATGCATAACTAAATGTATTATAATATAATATAATATAAATACATATATGTAATATGTCTTTTTTAACAAGCTCTAGTATCACCAAAATAATTAGGAAAGACATCAAGTAAGGACTAGTATGGTGCATGACACTAAGAAATATAATTTGTCCTGTGGTCACCAATTAAAACTAATGGCATTTATCGGCATCTGGACTCATGTTCATTAAACTAGTGATGGACTCTAAAAGTTGTTGAACGTTTAATTCTGTAAGTTAGTTTTCTAGTTTGTCAAGAAAAGATGACCTAGTTAGGGCCGGACACAGTGGCTTACAAGCATAATTCCAGCACTTTGGGAGGCCGAGGTGGGTGAATTGCGAGGTCAGGAATTTGAGACCAGCCTGGCCAACACAGCAAAACTTTGTCTCTACTAAAAATACAAAAATTAGTCAGGTGTGGTGATACACACCTGTAGTCCCAGCTACTCAGGAGGCTGAGGCAGGAAAATCACTTGAACCCGAGAGGCAGAGGTTGCAGTGAGCCGAGATCGTGCCACTGCACTCCAGCCTGGGCAACAGAGCGAGGCTCTGTCTTGGGGAAAAAAAAAAAAAGATGACCTAGTTAAAGTAACTGTCCTTAAAAACCACACCGTATCACACACTTTTCCACTGTTCTTGAACAAATGCTGAGATGAAACATACAAACATCAAACAAGAGCAATCTATGTGGAAGAACCAAGAAGCAAACGGGCTGAGTAGAGTGTTTCTAAGTTAGGCCATTCAGTTTCCTGTGACTGCTCAGGGAAAGATGACCTCTCCCAGTTTTCTTCTGCCTCCCTTGGCTATATAATACTGGGTCAGGAGATCATAAGCCAGTTATCAGCCTCTCCAGGCTGGAAATATGCCTCTGTTTCCAGAAATAAACATGCTTAGGTGAACTTAGAAGGAAGGAAAAAAAGGGCTGGAGTCGAATCTGAAGTGTCTCACTCTTTCCCAAACCTCTAGGAAAACAGGATATAAAGGCCAATGCAGCCCTTAAGATCAATGCACGGTAAGTTTCTAGATCTATGAAACAGTTCCTCCGACAACCAAACTCTAGTGTGGTTTGGCACTATTTATCTCACAGGCTCAAGAAACAATTACCCAAAATGTGCCCTTCCTTTCTTCTTCTAGGTATTAGAGCAGGCATCCAGTAAGACATAATCTTTGTGTTTTTTAGGAGCTTAGGGTCTGCATTTGAGCATGCTTAAAAATTCAACAAGTATTTCCCAGGAACCTATCATGGAAAGCAATGAACCTTTCTGGTTTGTTTTGTTGTCAAAATTAGATGCTACTTCTACTCTTCCTCAGCAAAGCAAAAACACAAAATTTTCCTACTTTTCTAGTCACAAATTTTTCCTGCTCCAAACTGGCTCTTCTATACATTAGTAGCCACTTAAGTCCTTCCTGGGGCTGTATTCTAGTTATGTTCAAAAAAAGCCAGAAAAAAGCATTCCAAAGAAAGTGATCCCATAGACTGGGTGGATGGTAGTTGCTCTCACTGAATGGTAGTTCATATTCATTGTTGAATTGATTTTGTACTAACAACTGTAATACAATATGCTACTAAAATCTTTCTTCCCTAAAGGAAAGAAAGTATCTTGGATTGGAGAGGAGGGGTCTTCTAGCAGGCCAAGATAACTCGAAAAGCCTGGCTGACAAAGATTTCCCCCACACCATGGGTCACTACCATTGTAGCACTATTCAGAGTTTTACCCATCCCTCTTCTTTGATATTTCACACAATAAAAAGATCTTTTGAAACCAAGTTAACAATATATAAAACTACAGCTAGGCTCAATTTAAAAATATCTGTTTCTTAACTCACTGCAATGCCTGACCACATTGACACATGATAGCATGACAAACTGTATTTCTGTTAGTTTTATAGTTTTAACATACCAACTCCAATAAATACTACTGCAGGGACGAGTAAAAACTAAGGTCAAAGAGAACAGAGGGGAAAACAGAATGGGAAAATAAAGTAGGAAAATGAATGGAGAACGTTTTAGTGCTGAGAAATTATAAACAACTCAAGAAGGAAGCCGAGTTTTCACAACATAGGAAAATGCAATGGATTGAAAATTTCATTTTGAATTGAGTCATTTGTTAAACTAGCAACAAACTATTATTAAGAATATTAATATAGGAATGTTTGATTTGTTTCTTCGTGGATTCCTTTGGCCTTTTCTTTGACATTTATTTGCAAGAAGACCAGAGCATTCTTTTTCTATTTAATATTTGGGTGAAGGAATACATGGAATATATTTCATCTTTCTTAAACACAATTGTCATGACTATGACTCTGGTCTGGTGGGGGGATGTAAGGCTCAAAGCCATAAAATAAAATATGAAATTCAAGAAATTAAAAAAAATATATAAACAATTACATATAAATGTGACATAAATGGACTACTTCAATCCATCTTAAGTAAACAAATATATGATGGTTTCTTACTGATAAATGGATCATCTGTAGAGGCAGCTTGTTAATGATTACACAAGGAATCATTCTATAGTATAGAATACTCACGTTTTAGGATGTTTCTTTGCTCTAATTCTTCAGTTGTGGGCCTCTGGCTCAGCCTCCTATGATGACAAAAAGGATATATTACAGGTTAAAAATGAGGTACCCTAGTAGGAGACTTGAAATAAAACAACAAAGCTCTATTTTTCATGTTTTGAGAAATAAAAATTCATTTTTAAAGCTGCAAAATAAAAGTCTCTTTCCCATTAGTTTGGAGACTACAGATCATGGCTGAGGCTACTCACCGACCCCCATTACACAGTCTCCCTTCCTTTTAGCAACAGATTGGTCTCGATGTTAGATAGGTACCTGACTACAGACTTCTGCCTCCCTAGAAGCCAGGTATCGTGCTGTGACTGAGTTTCTGCAATGGGATGTGAGCAGAATGATGTTTGTTACTTCCTCTTCTCATCCTTAAAATGCCTGGGTGCATGTTCCCTTCTTTCCCTTTCCTTTTTCCACAGGCTAGAACTTCAGCCTGATGGTGTGAGCCAGCTTTGATCATGCAGATGAGACCATCCAGGGGACGGGAGAGCAGCAAGACAGAAGGAACGTAGGAGCTAGGCTGACTTCAAGGAGCCGAGTTCCCAACCATGCTGGATGGCCCACCTACCTGGGGACGGTCATGTGAAAAAGAAATACACATACCTGGTTTGGACCACTATAGTTTTTGGTCTCTGTTACAGCTTAGCTTATAGCCTAATTAATATATAGCTCATTAGGGTCTAAAATAGGATGCTGCGCCTGGCTGGGTAATCTTAATATAAGATAGTACTACTAATTCTAAATGTTTATGGTTATGACAAAAATGGTAAGAAGAACTGAAATTAATACTTTAAATATCTCATTAATATGCTAAACTATGATCTTCATCAGAGCTACCTTGAAACTAACTTAATTGAGCAGACAAAAGAACTTGTTGAACATCTATCTCTATGCCAGCCAGGTTTCCTGCCATCCATGTCCCCATGTATCCTGTGCTACATATCTCTATTATGAATATACTGTACTCTATATTATGCCCACAATAAGCCACATTTCTTTTATCTATGGTGTCTCCTCCATCTGAATATCTTTCTCTCCTTTTCCATCTACTGAAATCTTATAGATGATTAAAATAATATCTTGAAGATATGTATTTGGCCTCTTCTGAAAGTGAGAATTAAAGGCTCCTGGTTCTTTGCTCATTTACAGCAATTTATACACAGACTATACATCTATTAAAGCACTTATCACACAGGCAGTTATAAAAATAATAATTACAGCTATCATTTAGTCATACTTTTAAAAATCCAGGTACTGTGCTAGGTGCTTAGCTTATATGATCTGGAATCCTCAAAGCAGTTCAGCAAGGTAGCACCCAGTTTCAGTTTTACAGATGAGGAAATGAGAGATGAACTAACCTGCCTAAGGTAAAACACTAGTAAATGCTAGCGCCAGGATTCATACTCAAATCCTTTGACTTAGATGTTTGTGCTTTTCGCGTGACCCCATCGTGCAACATATAATTCTGTCTCTCATTAGACATGGAGTTCTCTGTGGCTAGAACTGTGGATGAACTATCTTTCAATGACAGTGATTAGATGTGCTGTGTTTGTACAAAAACAATTCTGTAAAATTTACATTTTAATAACAGTGAAAACTTTGCTCTATTAACTTTTTTTTTTTTTTTTTTTTTTTTTTTTTTTGGTGAGACAGGGTCTGGCTTTGTTGCCCAGGCTGGAGTGCTGTGGCGTGATCTCAGCTCACTGCAACCTCTACCTCCTGGACTCAAGCGATCCTCCCACCTCAGCCTCACAAGTAGCTGGGACTACAGGCGCATGCCACCAAGCTCCACTAATTTTTTCTTTTTTTGGTAGAGATGGGGTTTTGCCATGTTGCCCAGGCTGGTCTCAAACTTCCGGGCTCACGCGATCCACATCTCAGCCTCCCAAAGTGCTGGAATTAGAGGCATGAAACAACCGCGCCCAGACCATTGACATTTTTGACAGATATAGTCTATGTATTTATCAAGGCTTTCGAACTTTTGGGGGTTGCAGTGGAATCCTAATCTGTAAGAGAGACAGAAGCTGTCTTAGTTGGATGGTTAGATCTGGGATGGAGAAGCCTCCTCCCATCCCAGCCCAAACACACACCTATACTCCCATCCCAGCCTAAACACACACCTACACTCCCATCCCAGCCCAGACACACATCCATGCTCCCATCCCAGCCCAGACACACACCTACACTTCCCTGGTTCTTCCAGTAGATGCCTATGTATCATTTCCAGGGCATCCTTGATGAAGTCTTTAGAAAACTGGTACTTTATGGGATTCCACAGTGTCAGCTTCTCACAGTGTTCTTCATTGGTCCCTTGTTTTTGAACACCGGTTTGTTTTAATTTATCATTACTATAAATATCTTTGTAATAAACATCTTTGTAAGATATAGCATTTTCCCCCTTTGGATTATTTACTTTTTATATAGTTACCAAATGGAATTACCATGCAAAGAAACAGACCGCCTCATAATTTTCTTATCATATTGTTAAACTGTTCTTCAGAAATACTGAAAAAGGGCAATGTATACGTGTCTTACTTGCTCACAAATTTGCCAACATTGGGTTTAATTTTTAAATGTGCTTTACTAGTTTAACTGATGTATAATAATTTAAATGAATAATAAGAAATTTAATTTTTCTGAGGGCTTGCTATGACCCAGATACTAAAGAACCATTAGTGTATCATCTCCTTTAATCCTCCCAAGCTCTTGGGTTAGTTAGCTCTGTTTTACAGATGGGGGCCAAGCAGGAACTCTTTCCTGCCTTGTCCTATGACTGTATTTCTGCCAGTTCTGGATAAGCCCATACTTGGATGTTGAATAGCCACCTCTCACAATGGTTGTGTTCATGATGATTTTCATTACATTTATCACAGCCCCAAACATCTTTTCAATCTGTGGCCACAGACCTCCCATCCTATCTTGGCAGATGGTTTTTCTTTGGCCCACACTGAAAAAGGTGACATTTACTTCTATTAGGTTTCATTTTATGGAATGAATCCATTATGCTCTGATTCTATAAAGTACACCCATTGTCCTTCAAACTTCATGCTACCCATTTGATTAACCTGTCTGCTGATTTTTCTTCATTGATAAAAATGTTTACTCTCTTTCCATTTAGTTATATATTCCTTCATTCCTTCCACTATGATTTTCTGGAAATGGATTTCTTTGGCCTGGAGTGAAGTGAAGAGTTAAGTGTTTAAAATGTGGTCGTTGCTATTGCTGTGACTGCAATCTCCCTTTTCATTGTGGGAGATTTCTTCTATGTATCAATGTTATATAAATATAATGCTGATTTTTTAGGTTAATCTTACATCAAGCAAACCTGCTGAAATTATTATATATAGCAATTTGGGGTCAGTTTTTAGAGTTTTCTAGGTATATAACCATGTATAACAACAGTCTATCTTTCCTATAATTTATACCTTTTCTTCACCACAAATAATTGTGACCAGACTTTTAGCACAGTAAGGTTAAGGCATTTTTCTTTGCTTCTATTTTTAAAGAAAATGACTTTAGGGTTTCTCCCTAGAGTAAGATATTTAGTATATTTTTTAAAATTTATTTTTTAATTGTTTTTTGAGATGGAGTCTCACTTTGTTGCCCAGGCTGGAGTGCAGTGGTACGATCTCGGCTCACTGCAGCCTCCGCCTCCAAATTCCTGCCTCAGCCTCCTGAGTAGCTGGGATTACAGGTGCCCGTCATCACAGCCGGCTAATATTTGTATTTTTAGTAGAGATGGTATTTCACCATGTTGGCCAGGCTGGTCTCGAACTCCTGACCTCAAGTGATCCGCCTGCCTTGGCCTCCCAAAGTGCTGGGATTACAACTCCTCATTTGTTTAGGATTTCTTTTTTTTTTTTTTTTTTTTTTGAGACGGAGTCTCGCTCTGCCGCCCAGGCTGGAGTGCAGTGGCCGGATCTCAGCCCACTGCAAGCTCCGCCTCCCGGGTTCACGCCATTCTCCTGCCTCAGCCTCCCGAGTAGTTGGGACTACAGGCGCCCGCCACCGCGCCCGGCTAGTTTCTTTGTATTTTTTAGTAGAGACGGGGTTTCACCGTGTTAGCCAGGATGGTCTCGATCTCCTGACCTCGTGATCCGCCTGTCTCGGCCTCCCAAAGTGCTGGGATTACAACTCCTCATTTGTTTAGGATTTCTAACAAAAACTGAACAAAATTTTCTTTACGGTTACTTTGACATTTATCGAGGTGGGTATATGATACTTCACACTTTTTTACTCCTTACTATGATAATACTATTACTATTTTATGCAAATATTATTCAATGATTTACATTCTTCTTCGTGGCAAAACATAAACAAGAATAATAAAACAATCAGAAAACCTAGAAGCATATACTCTCTTACATAGAGTAGAAAGTACAAAACAGGAGACAGTGTACAAAAGAAAATTGGGCAGAGAGCCCAGGAGCGAAACTCTGATTCCGTTTCTGCTACTCAGTAACTGCATGTCCTTGAGAAATTTCCTTAATCTCTCTGGGCCTCAGAGAGGCCCCTTGTTTTTCCTTGGTAAGATGGCAAGATTAGACTTGTAGGTTTTTCCAGCTTGATACCATTAATCACTTTGGTCCCTCTTGCTTCTGCTGGCTCTTTCTCGAAGCCAGAAATGGTCACAGGTTAGGGCTGAATTAAGATGACAGTGAGAGAGACCACTGGTAAACATTCCCAAATTGCTTCCAGAGTTGCAAGAGGGCTTACGGAACAGAGAGACCCTCTAAGCCTCCCCCGAGGTTCCCTGGTAGGCTGTGCTTTTCCTTCAGATAGATGCCACAGCTGCTGCCTCTGACACCTTTCTGCACAACTCAGCCGTAAGGAGGTGCCTTAGGGGTTACTCTTCCTCTGGAGAAATGGTCAGCAGCCTCCATGTCAATCCTGCCTCCAGTTATACCACTTCCAAGCAAGGACAGCAATTTTCCCCCTACCTCCAAATCCTGCTCTGGGATTCTAGACAGTTCCTTTCTCCCAGTTATGCACCCTGTTGGGTATGCAGAGTAAGATAAGTCAGCAGAACAACTAATTCTCACATATGCTTAAAGTGATCATCAAAAATAAGACCTTTGGCATGAATGAATGCTCACTTCTATTAAAAATGCCAGTTAAAGGGACTTGTAAAGTCACCAGTGGCAAAAACAAAAATCCTATACAATGGTTGGAGGCAGGAAGAGATGTCAGATGACCCATTTACTTTAAGTCGGAAGGGGGATGTTTAGATATGAGGGTTATGGCTACCTGACTTGGATGAAGCCAGACCACTGAAGGGAACTAATATTTCTACAGTCTCACAGCCCACGAGGCAGAACCTCATGGCATTCCCAGGAATGCTAGTGAGTGCATAAATTAGGCCAGGATTGTTGAGCAAACTGTGATCTGCAGGCCAAATCCAGCTTTATGAATAAATAAAGTTTTATTGGAACATGGCCACACTCATTTGTTTATCTATTATTTATGTCTGCTTTTATGCTACAGCAGTGCGGTTGAGTAGCTGCAACAGAGACTGTCTGGCCAGCAAAGCCTGAAATGTTTGCCAATTGGTCTTTAAAAAAAAGTTTGTTGACCCCTGGAATAGGCTTTGGTGACCTGAAAGCCACTGGCTAGCTGGGCCAAAGGATAAGTTCCTCGAGTGGTTCATCATGCAAGACCAACTTTAAAAGACCCAATAGGCCAGATGTATCTGGACATAAGGAATTCACAATGACCCCAGTTAGGTAGGAAGCTTTGGGAAGAAGAAAAATACAAATTAGTCAGTACTGCCCTAAAATGTCAGCAATTACCTGACTAACTTGGTTCCAATTTGCTGTCGGATTTCCTGCCTCTCTTCTTCGGATGTACGCTGCAAGATGTTTTTGTCCTCTAATTCTTTCTTAGATGGTCTGTTGCCAAGTTTGATAGCAAGAGTATCCCTCCGGCGTATTTTACTTGCCAAAGCACCTGAGGATTGAAAAAGAGGAGAAATGCAGAGAGAGAGGCTTTTAGCCAGTGGCACTTGGGTTACACATGGCATGGACTTTAAATAGAGCCCAGACCAAATTCTTTCTCCTCGTGCAGGAGGAGAATCTTAATTAACCTAAGGAAAAAAAGACTGAGTTGGATGCAGTACATTTTAAGAAGACTGAAAAGCTATTTCTTTTTAATGTTCTGAGAAATATTGGGACACCATAAAAAACTTAGAAGTCTCACTTCATCGTCTGGAAAGTGATAGCTGCAGTTTATTTTGCTGAGAGGGTGGATCATAGAAATGAATGATTGTACAATGCTTTTTCTTTTTCAAGTTTAAAAAACTTAGTTCCTTTGCTTTTATTCTGGACAGTTAATCCTTGTCTCCTCCTTTCCTCTACTCAGACGCCATCCTGGCAGAGTCTACCAATGTTTAACCCTTAATTGCTCAGAACCCTGAAAATTTCAACAAATGATAAGTAATACCACATGGATGATAATGGTTTTATTTATTTTTTTTGCTCCATGCAAATTAAAAGGGATTGACAAAGTGCCATTTAATCACTAATAACTTGTCATAATCTACAAATTCAGTCCCACAGTGATTCCCTCCTCTGTTATCCTGCTCAAAGTTAAAAAAAAATAAAAGCTCTTTCCAGATCTCCAAGTTATATTAGGTTGATGTAAAAGTAATTGTGGTTTTTGCCGTTATTTTTAATACATAAATGATATTATTATTTCCTAGAAGGCCTACTATCTTACTTATTGTGGAAGTATGATTGTTTTTTAATGCTAACGAGGTATTTAGCATTCTTCTTCTTATTATTTTTTGAGATGGAGTCTCACTGTGTCTCCCAGGCTGGAGTGCAGTGGCGTGATCTCAGCTCACTGCAACTTCTGCCTCCCGGGTTCAAGCGATTCTCCTGCCTCAGCCTCCAGAGCAGCTGGAATGACAGGTGTGTGCCACCACGCCTGACTGGTTTTTGTATTTTTAGTAAAGACAGGGCTTCGCCATGTTGGCTAGGCTAGTCTCGAACTCCTGTTCTCAAGTGATTCACCCACCTTAGCCTCCCAAAGTTACAGACATGAACCACCATGCTTGACCTCTTAATGCTAATGAGATATTTGGCATTCTTGATTCATTCCTCCTTCCCCTTTCTATAAACCCCAGTAAAAAAAAAAAGTGAGTGAAAATTTCAAACACCTCCAATGAGTAAGCCCAAGAATCTGCACTGACTCCTTTCTTTCTTCAAGAATGGTCCCAGAGTGAAAGGCTCTCTTTGGTCATAGTGAGAAAGGTCTCTGTCATTAGAAAGCTTTGATTCTCAGCACAAAAACCAATGTGCACATCTAGCTCATCTAGCTCATCGACAAAGGCCAGATCCAGCCGTGTGACATCATCTTCTGGAAAGGCCTCCCGTCAAAAGCTAAACTTTAGGATATACACATTTCTAATTTGAGAAAGGAGGATGAGGGGAAAGAAAACATCAGATGTCTGGTTCCTAATGAGGCTTTTATTCTTTACAAAGTGCAGCTGCTTCTGCTTATCACCCACGCTTCTCCCTGTCTCTTGAAAACAGTCTTACTTTCTCCACTGCCATCCTCATCTTCATCTTCGTCCTCATCGTCAGTGTACAAGACAGGCCCGTCGGAGTCAGAGTCACTGGCTTGGTATTCCCTGTGGCCTTCATCTTCTGAGGGACTGAAGATTTCTGGAGATTCACCCATCAGACCAGGAGTCAGTAGCTGAGGCACTGTCTTCCCCAGCTCCTCTTTGGTTGTGAAACTGTTAAAGGCAGAAAAGCATGGGAGTGATGTGAATGAAGCTCACAGCAATCCTTGGGGGCATCAACACCATGAAAAAGGGCTCTAGTTTCATGGGCTTCCTTCAGGCTGGGGAAAGCAGACACATGACATAGGCCAGGCTAAAGTCACTGAAATGAAACCTTAATTCTCAAGGTTTTACATTTTTCATTTGTAAAATGCAAAGGCTTGGTATCTGATACATTTAGCAAACAAGTAGGGTAAAACTACATCTTGCAAATTATTTTTTCCATAGCAATGGGGGTTCAGTGGAAATAATAATGAGCTAGAGGCTCCTGGATATTTGACATTATCTGCACTTTTTCTTTGACCTGTGTGAACTCCTGCTTATCCTTCAAGTGTCAGCTACAGCTCAGCTCCTTCAGGAATCTTTCCTGGACCCTCAGTTTAATTCCTTGCCCACCATGTCTGTCCCATGGGGACCTGAAGACAACCCTGCTAGAGTGCTTAGCGTACTACACCTTGACCACCCATTGCTTCTCTGCCTTCTCAATCCCACAAGTTCCTGGAAAAGTGAGACTCATTGTTTTGCATCACAGCACCCAGAAGGTAGTGACATAGAAAAGTACATCTTCTTTCATTAATATATGGCTAGGTTCGGTGGTTCACACCTATAACCACAGCACTTCAGAAGGCTGAAGCGGGAGACTCGCTTGAGCCTAGGAGTTCAAAACCAGCCTGGGCAACATAGGGGACTTTGTCTCCACTAAAAATACAAAATATTAGCCTGGAGTGGTGGCCGGCACCTGTAATCCCAACTACTTGGGAGGCTGAGGCAGGAGAGTCACTTGAACCTGGGAGGTGGAGGTTGCAGTGAGCCGAGATAGCGCCATTGCACTCCAGCCTGGGCAACAAGAGCAAAACTCCATTTCAAAAATAAATAAATAAAATAAAATAAAATAAAAAATTAGCTGGGTATGGTGGCGCTTGCCTGTAGTCCCAGCTACTCGGGAGGCTGAGGTGGTAGGATTGCTTGAGCCTGGGAAGTCGAGGCTGCAGTGAGCCATGCTAGCACCACTGTACTCCAGCCTGGGTAACAGAGTGAGACCCTGTCTCAAAAAAAAAAAAAAAAAAAAAAAAAAAAAAAAAAAAAAAGTGTGTGTGTGTATATATATATATATATATATAAATACATATATGAATTAATCCTGGTTTTATCCCAATGTGTAAATAGTAAAAACTCATTTATCCTATGTGTGTTTTCATTTTTAAAACTGCCTCTTGTAACATAATAGACAGCATGCAAGTTAAATAAACTTTTTAGAAAAAAGATAATATGCACTCTAGCCTGGGTGACAGAGCGAGACTCCATCTCAAAAAAAAAAAAAAAAAAAAAAGAAAGAAAGAAAAAAGGTGACATGCAAGGATGCAATAATTTTCTATTATTTAGCCTGGTAAAAGTCTATGGTTTAAAGAGTTACTATTAATGTACAAAGATGGCCAATTTTCAAAGACTAGGCTAAAAAATATATAGTAACTTATGTAAAAACATCATATCAAAAATAATGTAATCTTCATTTTGAGACACAAAGATTCCCCAAATTGCTTTCTGGTAAAAAGTTCTTCCAGTAATAAACATAGATAAACTTGATCAGAATAGGAGGTATTTAAAACCTTACTTTGTGGTTATAAACCTGAGTGAGCACTGTCAAAATTTTGTTTCTCACTTATCAGAAAAACCCAACAGACTACATTCTTGTTCTCAAAGAGGGAAATAGGAAATCTCATTTTTATTGTGTAAAATACATAACATAAAATTTGCCATTTTAACCATTTTTAAGTGTACAGTTCACTAGCATTAGGCACATTCACGTTACTGTGTAACCATGACCACTGGCCATCTTCAGAACTTTTCCATCTTCCCAAATTCAAACTCTACCCATTAAACAACTCCCCATAACCATTATCTCCCAGCCATTGGCAACTACCATTCTACTTTTTGTTTCTATAATTTGACTATTCTAAGCACCTTCTCTAAGAGAAATTATACAATGTTTGTCCTTTCATATGTAACATACTTCACTTAGCATAATATCTTCAAGGTTCCTTCATTCATATCGTAGCATGTGTGAAAATTTGCTTCCTTTTTAAGGCCGAATGATATTCCACTCTACGTATATACCACATTTTGTTTATCCATTCATCAGTCAATAGACATTTTTGTGTTTTCACCTTTTGGCTATTGTGAAAAATACTGCTTTGAGGATCGGTGTACAAATTCAAGTGCCTGCTTTCAATTATTTTGGCTATATACATGAAAGTAGAATTGCTGGATCACATGGTAATTCTATGTTTAATTTTTTGAGGAACCACCATACTGTTTTCCACAGTGTGAAATCTCATCTTGAATAAGAGAAGATCTATTTTTATGGGAAAATTTTTCCACAGTCTGGGTTTTTAGTTGATTGCCACTGGAAGCCATTCTTGTTTGAATTGGCTGCCATTATGGGTGATCACAGCACATTTAAAATCCACGCCAATTAGTAATATGTTCTGAATAACAGAACAAATTTGAGAGATGAGTCCTTTATTTGTTGGTGTCATTGTTCACTAATTAATTATCATATTGATTATTATTCTAATCTTACTATTTGTATGTCTCATGGTTTTCAAAGCATCCAGCATACATCTACAATTTACAAGCATTCTGTTGTATAAGGAGGGCAGTTAACTTACAGTTCATGGAATTAAAGAAGGCCATGAATGAGTTGCCTAACCAAGGTAGCAAGTCTAGTCTAGAATCCAGACTGAAGACTCTTGGTCTACCTATTAAATTTTACATTTATGATACTATTATATTTTACACTTAATGAGTTATATTATGTTATAAATTATATCTGATGTTAAATATACTCCAAGTTTGTATAAATCAACTCATGACTTACCCCTTATTTTTCCCCCCCCGGGTTCCTAGGCACACTGGACAATATAGTGCATTCTATAAATGTTTGTGGAAATGAACTGCACAAAGTAACCTTTTGGATATGGCCTCCAAATGGTCTTATTAGTTTTTACCTTATATTGTATCACACATATGTATTACTGATGAAGCTGCCCATGAATGGAAGCCTACCAAATAATTACTAGCCTGCCAGATGGGAAGAGAGGTAAGTATTTTTATCCATAGCCACTTGTCTTCTTGAAAGTTTTGATATTTGTCTTCCAAACAGAAGTCTCTTCATAAAATGACAAGATTTTCACACATTAGTTGACTAAACATAACTCAGAGGGAAAGTTCTAAGTAAAGCAAGTGAATAACAGCCAGATATTCTAATCCAAATATCCACTTGAAAAAGGCAGAAAGAATTTGGAAGGAAATTTGAGAGACTACTTACTCCAGGTTCATTAATTCAGGAGCAAACACAAACCATCCCTGTAGGATGAACTGAAATTTAAATTTTGAAGAATATACAGAGAAGAAAATCCTTATGGCCTCTTCTAGGAAATCATTATAACTACCTTGATGGACAGGAATATGTATTGTAAGTAGCCTCAATGGCTAATGATGTCCTAAGCTCACTCCCTCTGATTATAGTCCCAGTAGGAAAAAAGAGCTGATGCATACCTCTTTGGTCTGACAGTTCTTCATATACTTGAGATGAAGACTGATATTAAGCCCCTAGTATGTTGTGTGGTGCTTAGCACAATAAAATGCACTCCTTAAATATTTGTGGAAATGAATGGGATAGTCAGGCCACCTTTGGATGTGAGCTCTCTAAGTGTTTAAGACTATATCAGGAAGCACTTTACATGTTGCACCTTATTCTTTAGTATATTGAACAATAATCCCATATACCCAATCTAGTTTCCAGAAATTCAGATGTTACTTTAAACATTATACTTCCTGCACACATCAGACAATATTTTGGTAAAAGCTAGTCTCAACTATATTGCCTTGCTCACTTTTGTATCCTTGGTGCTTAGTACAGTGCCCAGCACAGAAAAGGCAATCAAATAATATATGCTGTAAGAATGAATATTCAGTTCTAATGGCTGGAAATGATCGCAATGTTGGAAAATACTCAGTATAGTTAAATGAAGACGTTTGCTGTATACTGGAAGTATTAAGAATGCTGCTAGGGTTTGAATGTGTCCCTCAGAATTCATGGGTTAAAATTTAATCCCAGCTGTGTGCAGTGGCTCATGCCTGTAGTCCCAGCACTTTGGAAGGCCGAGGCAGGCGGATCACAAGGTCAGGAGTTGGAGACCAGCCTGGCCTATATGGTGAAACCCCATCTCTACTAAAAATAGAAAAATTAGCCGGGCGTGATGGCAGGTGCCTGTAGTCCTAGCTACTGGGGAGGCTGAGGCAGAAGAATCGCTTGAACCTGGGAGGCGGAGGTTGAGGTGAGCCGAGATCATGCCACTGTACTCCAGCCTGGGTGATAGAGCAAGACTCCATCTCAAAAACAAAACAAAACAAAACAAAACACAGAAGAAAAAACTTCATCCTCAGTGTGAAAGTATTGAGACGTAGGGCCTAGTGGGAGGTGTTTAAGTCATGAAGGCTCTGCCCTCATGAATAGATTAATGCCATTTTAAAAAGGGCTCACAGGGGTAGGTTCACTCTGTTGTGCTCTCTGCCCTTCCACCTCCCACCATGTGATGACATGGAAAGAAGATGCTTGCCAAATGCTGCTGCCTTGATCTTGGACTTCCCAGCCCCTAGGACTGTGAGCCAATATTCTAATTGTTGTAAATTACCCAGTCACAGGTACTCTATTACAGCAGCACAAAATGTCCTAAGAAAGACAACATAACCATTCATTTCAATAAATCCTGTTTTCCCATATCTTTTATTAGAATGTCAAACAAAGAGAATAAATTAATTTGTAATCTGACATTTATTTTTTCTTGGCTGTCCTTCAAATATTGGTGCTCAAAGTGACTTAAAAAAAAACCAAAGAAACTAACAGAACAGAAATGGCAGTAGAAGTAGAAGCCATTGCTTTGGAAAACATGAAATTATTTATTCAGAGCATGGAATTGGGTATGCTTTCTGGCTTCACCACCACCAACTGGGCAGTCTGGTGCAAACTATTTTAGCTCTCTCAGTGCCAGTTTTCTTATCTATAAAACAGGGATACTTTTGGGAAGACTTGTATAAATAAAATGATAATACATGTACAGTGCTTAGTTCCTGACATTAAATGAATATTCAATAAATAAAGGTTATTATCATTAGCAATTAATTTAAGTTGATATTTTAGTCTCTTGATCAAAACCAACCTAACTAATGTAATAATTTTTTTTAACTCTAACATGACAGATTATTTTGAAAGAGAACCTTTTACATGATTTGAAGAATGAATACAAGTTTTGTTCTTAGACATAGGAGCAAAAAGCCAGGATGCAAGTGCTCTAAGCCATTGCTAGACAGAATTTATCATTGCGTCTACTATACGCTGACAGCCATCCATCCCTTCATACCTGTGTGACAGGGCTAATATGCTTTATTTACCTGTAAGTAGAATATTTGTAGGACTTTGTGAGTGATGAAATGCAAAGAATGAAAGAGAATGAGGACCCTTGGATGAACCCCAGGTTTCCAGTTTGGGCAACTGGGTGATGGTAAAGCAATTAACCCACCAACTGGATGAGGGTGAGGTAACATGGAGTTCCTTGGCCCATTTTGTTCAGGTACCTTCTTAAATGAAACGATGACTACCTAAGCACTATCTTTTATCTTCCATTATACTCTATAAAATCTAGCAACAGGGTCATCTTATCTTCAATGCTGCTTCCACAATGTTAAAGTAGGCTGACTTTATCTATAATGATCTTAAATTCCTTTTTTATTTTCTGTCAACAATTCAACGAGCATCCTTTGTATGCCTATGGCATATCAGACTCTGGTCTGGTTGCTGGGCACACAGAGGTATATAAGACATGTTGGCTAATTCTCTCCCACAGGGTTGTCTAAGTATAGTAGACACAACAAACAATTCTGTGTAGAAGTATCTAATGGCTTCACAGAGGACATAACATTTAAGCTGGGTGGGAATTTAAAGGAACAAGAAAGGGGACAACTCTACTGCTGGAGGAAAAAAGAGTTCACATTTGAGAGTTCTATTCTGATCTTCTTTATGTTCTTGGAGAAGGGGAAGGCTCAGTAACTTATTGACATGAGTGGGTGAGCACACTGGTAAAGTGGTAAAGATTTAAAATAAGCACTGAAAGGAAAGAGAAGGGAACTGTGGACTGCTGAGCAGTGCTGAAGCAGGTTCTAACTGTACTTGAAAACACTGATCTCAGCTCTACCAATGTAATTTTCTCCAGCAGCCCTCAGGGCAGGGTTCTGACAAAGCAATGGTTGCATCACATGTATGCCCACCTAACACTCAGTAGATTAAATTAGAAAAGAAAGCAAACCTGGTTGCTTTATTTCCAACAGAATATATTAGTGAACTTTAGTTCTCAGATAAAATAGGGGGTTTGTTCCCCAACTCACCATTTTGCATTTTCTCTGTTAACACTTAAGCCAGTGCCTGAGTAGAGAGTGGTTCTGTTTTTTGGCTCTTCAGCCCAAAGAAGCTGACTTGGGTCTAAGGCAGAGACGGGCAGGTCAGCTCCAACGCTGACCAGGACAACTGGAGTGTCGGAGGCAGTAATGCACTGATCTTCAAGAGGGAGAGTGGGGGCCGGAGGAGAAGGTGCTGGAGCCACAGGGGGTGGAGGGACCACGGACTTGGATTTGCCTGTGTTCTGCTCCTCAGCTCCAGGGACAGTCTGTTCAAGTTTGAGACTCTCCACTCTCGTCTCTGAAGGCTCTCCTTTAAGGTCGGCTATGCCAGAAGTGGTTGTGTCTGAGGACAGACGAGAAGTCGTTGGCTGCTTGCCAGTTTTTTTCTTGCCCTTGGTGGTCCCCACTGTCCCTGTTTTGCTAGCAACTGTCTCCTTTGAAGCTTTGGGACGAGATGAGGTGGATGAAGTGGATGGCGAAGTTGATGCTTTAGAGCCAGTTGTTTTTTTTGAATGAGAGGAGCCAGCTACAATAGAGAGACTTTGCATTAAAAAATCAAAGAATACAAGGCTTTTAAAAATAAAGTTACCGAGGTGTAACTGTCAATAACATTTAAAATGTTCCCATTAAAATTTGTTGAATAAATGAGTAAGAGAAAATAGGCTACTCAGGATAATGGTCTTGTCTTCTGCCCCTCCCTTCCTCCAATCCAGCAAGAAGCAAGTGATGTTTATGGCAAAACCTGGAGGAACAAGAGCCCTCTGTGTTCTCCCACCTTTAATCTTTAGCTGAGCCAGCCAAAGGGAGAATCCTCCGCTCCTTGTCTATGGGTCACTTGAAAAAAGCCTGGTATGCTCTCAAGAAGGAATGTTATGGTGTGTAGAGGACAGACATCAGCAGCTAGCTGGGTGTAGCACACAATTGGGCTCATTATAAATTATACACATTCTATGCTGTCTTTCTAGGAATAGAGTGGTGGCCTGTATTCAGAAGAGACTGGGGTATATATCCAGCTCCTTTCTGGGTCAAAAACAAAATCACTCATCTTACTGCTAAAAGAGTAAAACTCAAACCAGCTGTTTCAGTAGCTCCAGAGAAGAAAGCTTGCTATGCTGGCCTCTACTTCTATCTGTAGTAGAGATGGGGCAAAGGGAAAACTCATGGCCACACAGGAAAGGTACACTCCCTTCAAAACATCAAAAGGTCAGAAAAAACCTTTTTTACAAAATATGTTTACATGGGTTGCTCCTTCTTTTTTTTCTTTTTCTTTTCTTTTTTTTTTTTTTTGAGATAAGGTCTTGCTCTATTGCCCAGGCTGGAGTTCAATGGTGCAATATCAGCTCACTGCAACTTCTACCTCCTGGTCTCAAGTGATCCTCCTGCCTCAGCCTCCTGAGTAGCTGGGACTACAGGTGTGTACCACCATATCTGGCGAATTTTTAATGTATTTTTGTTGAGACAGGGTTTTGTCATGTTGCCCAGGCTGGTCTTGAACTCCTGGGCTCAAGGGATCCACCCATCTTGACCTCCCAAAGTGAGAAGCTTTGGTGGCTCCAAAGAATTACAGGCATGAGCCACTATGTCTGATCCTAAATAATGTGAAGGGAAAGAGTATCATTCTCAGGTCTTCTGACCCCACCTTTGCAAATGTGATCTTCCTTAATGCTTAAGTTCCAAGAAGGTCTTCATTGAAGGATCGCTACGGTATATTTGCCTACTTCCGGATAGGGCACCCTCAATCAAAACAGTTTCAGAGCAAAAAGATTAACTACTCTTTTCTTCATGTCATCTTAGTAAATATATGATGATAAAATAAACTCGTATGAGAATACTCTTTTCTTTCATGACCTATAAATTTATCCTAATGGCTTCTTCTGTTATAATGTTGTATGTTCCTTCTTTTCATAAAGGCTTAAACTATCTTTCATAGAATGATTAGAAAATATCTTGTTAGCATTGTGAAGCCAATCTACACTATATACAGATGTTATTATAACTTACCTCCGGTTATGACTTTATTGAAGTCACTTGGGAGGATGAAGAGATGAAGAATAAATGAAAGAATAGACAATGAGATGTAAGACTTCATTAATTCTGATTAGACTGACACTAAAGAAGCCAGTCTCATTTAGTGACAGGTTCCAGGCTTAAAAGGAATCCCTATGGTTTGGGGGTCTTTATTGTTTAAGACATACATACCTAGAATTCTTCTTCCCCAAATCCAGACCTGTTAATACATCTTTATAGAAAACAACCTTCCCTAGCCTTGAAGTCAAATTCATTAAGTACACTCCCTCAACCTAAGTCCATTCTACATTTACTTTTCACAACAAAGACATTAAGGATTCGGTGCCTAGCCTTGTTCAATTATTTTCTTAGGTAAGTTAAACAGAATCCTTTCCATGTATCAATTCTAATAATTTGTTAAAGAAAATTCTTTTTTTTTTTTTTTTTTTTTGAGACAGAGTCTCATTCTGTCACCCAGTCTGGAGTGCAGTGGCACAATCTCGGCTCACTGCAACCTTTGCCTCCTGGGTTCAAGTGATTCTCCTGCTTCAGCCTCCCAAATAGCTGGGATTACAGGTGCCCACCACCATGCCTGAGCAATTTTTGTATTTTTAGTAGAGATGGGGTTTTACCATGTTGTACAGGCTGGTCTCGAACTCCTGACCTCAGGTTATCCGCCCACCTCGGCCTCCCAAAGTGCTGGGATTACAGGCGTGAGGCACAATGCCTGGCCAAGAAAATTCTTTCCTCATTAACAGAAAAGTTGATTTTAGTTTGGCTTGAGGAAAAAGACTCTTTTTTTTCACTGCCCAGAGTGCAAATTCAAGCCACATTATAGTTTTTCTTAAAGAATCTTCTTAAATAACAGGTCTTTGTTGAGATCAAACATGTTGCTTAAGTTACCTTGAATAAAGGTCATGATTAAAAAAAAAGCCGCCTCTCCTCAGTTAAGTACTTTTGTTGTTAATAATGTGTAACAATGAGAAACAAAAATCAAGGAGATTTAACCCTACGTCTCTGGCAAATAAGTTGATGTTCTAAAATCAGTATTTAGGTAGCTACAGGTCTATACTAACTTAGTAATAGAGAAAGAATCTTAACTTATGGTTGTTTTAAGAACTTAAATCACTGGACTGAACATCAAGAGTAGCATTTAAACAAACTTTTCCAGAAGGTCCATATTATTCAAATAAAACAAAGTTACCATGCAGAAAGTTCTAAATGGTTACAAATGGAGTATCAGTAGGATCATAAAGGGATATTATCAGTATTTGATAAAACGATCCTTACATGATGGGCTTGTTCATGTACTTAAATGCAACCCCTGTTTCTCTGTGATAGCCTCTGGAAAAGTCAGGCCTTTTACAGCACAATGAATAAAATGACTGCTATTCTCTTAGGAACATCATGAGTGCCTAAATAAATCTTCAAGCAAAATATCTGGAAAAACCTCAGAATCATTTATGAAAGCTGTCTCCTGTCCTTGTGTTAATCATCGGCTTTCTTCTGAGGCAAGTAAAGAGAGTCCGAGCCGAGTTCAGAGTGAGCCACTACCACGTGGAGAATGGGAAAGTGGAGAAGTTAGTGCAAGACAGGAGCTTAATTTCCAATGACAAAGTGATTGTTCGGGGCTGTTCTTTAAGAAGATCAGTGCCTGCCTCACTTTAAGCAATGCTCCTAGGGTTTGCTAGGAAGTCTGAAAAACACACACAGATCCCAGCAAACGGACACTGATGGGTGAGGACAGCGGGTCCCTGAGGAGATGGCCACTGGGCACTGTTGGCACATCACTCTGGGACATTTCAGTTTAGAGCTTATAAGAAGAGACCCAGACACTAAAGGTCAAAGGCGGGATGTGAGGAGCACAGGAAGAGGGATGTCTATTGGCATTCAGAGATGTTATACTGTCAACAAAACCACTCTCTGAATTTGAGCATTAAGGTTATACATCATGAGGGGAAAAAGATCAACACCAAGGCGAATCCTGACAGTCAACTGCTAGAAAGTTGCTGTTGATTTTAAGGAAAATAAGATTTTTTTTTGAGATGGAGTCTCGTTCTGCCACCCAGGCTGGAGTGCACTGGCGCAATCTCAGCTCACTGCAACTTCTGCCTCCTTGGTTCAAGCAATTTTCCTGTCTCAGCCTCCTGAATAGCTGGGATTAGAGGTGTGCGCCACCACGCCCAGCTAATTCTTGTATTTTTAGCAGAGACAGGGTTTCACCATGTTGACCAGGCTGGTCTTGAACTCCTGACCTCAAGTGATCGACCTGCATCAGCCTTCCCAAAGTGCTGGGATTACAGGTGTGAGCCACTGGGTCTGGCCTGATTAATGTTCTTTTAAAAGATAAATGACATGGTAGACATCTTTATTCCTCTTCACTAAAAAAATGGGAGTTTCCACTTTGCATTAAGCGTATCTAATTGTAAAGCAAAGCTGGATACATAGTGCATGAAGTTATTGCAGGTCACTCAAACATCCACTGGTGATGTGTAATAGTAACTTATAACCACATGACACCAGGATGTTTTGCCTTAGAGCACACAAGTCTACAAGGGGAGGTGTGGAACATGGAGAGTGTAACTTTCCATTCCACTGAAATAGTCTTCACTGCAGTAGAAAGTGGTGCAGTGCAGCTGAAACAAGTGACATGAACCCTTTGTCATTTATCAGAAGGGAGATGACTATGGATGCTGAGGATTTAACACATTAACATCCAGCAAATATATCAAAGTTATAACTGTCACTTTTGTATATGCAAACCTAAGATATTTTGAAAGAAAATCCAAGCCAAAAAGCCACCCATAAACTCATATAGGTAGAAGGTCAGTCAATGTCTAAATAATGTTATATCAGATCATTGACATTCATCAGGCATACTACTCCCAGTATCCTTCAACTGGTGCTGACAGTGGATATTCAAGATGAAACCAGCATGTTCACTCAAAAACTAATGAGGTGAACTATTCAACGGGTTGACTTTCCTTTGGTAGAGAGCAACAAAGGAATCTCCTGGGCATTCTTTGTGTCAAAACTGAATCTGCTGGTGTAATGTCCTAAGACACCAAAAGCCCATCACACCTAGAAGAAACAATTAGCCCCATCCCAGAGCTAAGCACCCTAGAAGTGACCCCACAGGGCACTAGCGGCATACTCACCAGCCTCTCGGGTCGTGTTTCGGCTTGTTGGCTTGGGTGGAGGGTCGGGGGCCTGCTTACCAGGAGCCTTGGTATTTTTTTTAATGGGAGGCACTTCGTCACCTTTGTGGCTGGCCCCAGCAGTGGCCCCTTTTGGAGGCACAGGTGATTTTTTGGGTTTAGGTTTGGGTCTAGGCTTAGGAGGAGCAGAAGGAGGTAGAGCAGGAGCTGCCGGTGTTTCAGAGTGGTTTTCAGTGTTCTCTATAAATGAGAAAGTGAACAGAAGCAGACTGATACAGACACACACCATATAAACACGAGGAGCAAGACGTGACGGTAGTGACACAAAGCGTGGCTGCTAGGCCCTTGGGAACCAGCATGGAGTTCTGCACCAGACAGAGCACAGTTTAGGGTGAAAACAAAGGCTGAAAGACAAACTGAGAAGTGTTCTCAGGGTACATGAATCACCCTTTAATAAAACCAGGTTGTACAAACTACTTTGAAGATATTCGGTTGAGGATGTGTGTAAATTGTTTGCAAGTCAGGGGCCTCAGTTCTAGCCTTGGATCTGGGGTTGCTGGATGATGATGTGGGCGTGCAGTGCTACATTTAAATTGGACAAACAATGATTTTAGAAAGTTGAAGGCTGCTGGAGTGGCAGATGAACGCATTACAGTCACTGCTGTGGGGTGAGGACTGACAGCTGCAGTAACTGCTGGACTCATGGTTACCCTCGAGAACTCAAGCCAGATCCATCTGAAAGGGATCTGTGTTCAGATTTGCCGTGGTCAAAACTCAGTTATTTTGTAAGCTAAGAGAGGCTCTACAGAATCTTTTACATGAGGCAACAATGCACTTTGGAATGAATCATCTTCTACTAGCAAAATTTTCTAAAGCTTTCCCAGTACATTGGCAGCTTCCTGTTCTACAATAACTTCCTCTGCCCTTTCCTTCCTTTCTTTTCTTTTTTTTTTTTTTTTTTTTTTTTTTTGTGTGTGTGTGTGTATGAAAGAGAAGCTCAAAAAAAAATTTTTTTTTTTTTTGAGATAGGGTCTCTCTCTGTCACCCAGGCTGGAGTGCAGTGGCATGATCATGGCTCACTGTAGCCTTGATCTCCTGGGCTCAAGTGATAATCTAACCTCAGCCTTCTGTGTAGCTGAGACCACAGGTGTTTGCCACCACACCCAGCTAAGTTTTGAATTTTTTGTAGAGATTGGGTTTTGCCATATTGCCGAAGCTGGTCTTGAACTCCTGGGCTCAAGTGATTTGCCCCCCTTGGCCTCACAAAGTGTCAGGATAACAGGCATGAGACACCATGCCTGGCCTTTTCAAATGCTGTCACAACTATAGGTATAACTAGATGGTGCTGAATCGAAGAAATACTTAGGTCTCTTTTTTAATGTAAACCAAATAATTATTTTTGAAAGACAAAGGCTAAAATTCATCCAAAACTCATCCCTAAGAACAGCAGCTCCTCACAAGGTTTTGTGTAACTGGAGGAGAAAGAGTATTAGTTTCTTGTTACTGAAAGACAGTGGAGATGCTGAAGGTTCATTCATATATTCACATCTGTATTCGTTCTAATAGTGGCTGATGAGAATTAAACTAAAATACCATTCTGGTCCAAAGAGCTAAGCAGCATTTCTTTAAAAATGGGGCACGATAAAAAAACATTAAACCGTGTAAAGACAAGAACAAGACTTAACCAAGTCTGTCCTCCCATAATTGAATGATCAAGAAAGAGTTTTAATATTGTAATATATTGCATTTTATTATTATTTCTATTATTTTGTTCCTTATCCTAATGAGTGTGAAGTATGGAATTCTCTTTTTTCAACCACATTCCCCATCAATCCACATATATAATTGCATATGATGACTTCAGTTACAATAGGTAATCAATAAAGCTTTACTTTTAAAGTTCACCTTTGATGCTGCTTCAGCCACAAAATCCTCTCCTGTCACTGTGGCCCAAGTTGACTTCTTCTGCCTCTGAACTTACTTGGGCTTATTGTGTGAACCACTTACTCAACATTTATCAGAAGCTATTTTGTATTTTTGCCTTTCTGTTTATACATCTTGTCTCCTCAACTAAGCTGAGTATCATGTATATTAATAGTAATGGCCCTTTTAACTCAACTGGTCTTAACCAGGCAAGTATAAATCACAAAAGTCAGTTAGGTTTGAGAATGATACAAGTTGATACACACCTAAAACATTTAATTTTGACTTAAAATATATAAATATACATTAACTTGCCAGTCTTCTGACATATGGCTGAAGTCTATTCTTTAAATACATCTTTGTAACTTTAGCCCCCAGCATAATACCATGAAGTATGGAGACTAAGCCCAATAGTATCAATCATAGTGAAAGTCAAACTGATCTGTAACACATGGCACCTGAATTCTCTTATATACCACAAAATCCATTCATGTGTTATCCTCTCCCTTCATAGCACGTCACTGAGGGGTATTTTTCCTTTCTGTCTAAGGCTTAAAATTCTAACGTATACAGGAAAGAATCCAGCTTCTGGGTTTGGGAAGGAGGAGATGGTTCACCAGATTGGTTGGCAATGACAAGACCTACTAGGGAGAAAATGAACACACTGCAAACAGACTTTCTCCTGGCTCCTTGGAGAACGCAGTCAACTCCTCTTGACTCTTTGAACTCTACCAACTATGTGTGAACATTTGTCATTCTGGTAATTCTTAAGTTATGTGTGTGCGTGTGTACATGCATGCACACGCAGGGACATATGAGTATGCAAATAGCATAATTTTTTGACTGAATTATAAACATCTGTCTGAAATTTAAAATTCCATCGAACACACTGCTGTACACACTATGTCTATTCAACGAATGGGACTGACCGTCTAATAGTTATTGACACACACCTCAGTAGAAAACAGATGCTTTAGTTGCAGCTGGGAGGTAATGAATTAAGTCAAGTTGTATATTTTACACTTACCATGTGATCTGAAGACCTGATATAAACTGATGGCGTATAGGAGTATTATAATTTCAAGAGAAGGTTAAGAAAGTCTGCCTAGTCATTCTGGCTTGATAAGGACGCTAGGCTTCCCAGCAATGACGTCTGGAAAACAAGCTGTTTCCCACACTTCCAGGCTTGGCTCCTTTGGACACTAGAAGGTTTGAGTTCAAGGATACTCAGAACAAGCCTGGGGCTGCATGTGGTCTTCACCCTGCCTAGAATGCAATTCTCACCCAATTCCTCTGCTTCATTTGACTACCTCCTTCTTGTTTCCTTCATGTCTTAGTCTGTAAATATCTTCCTCCCAGAACCAATGTTTGTCCTCGCTGTGAGCTCCCTTGGGTTGCTGTGCTCAGGCCTTCTATGGTACTTCGCATCTTGCATTGCAATTGCCTGTTTGCATTCTGGTCTCCTCACAGGTCACGCTCTTAGGGCAAAGGCCATTTTTCATTCACCACTCTTTTCCTGGCCCCTAGTAGAGTCTCACCCATGGTAGACCTTCACTATTTGTGGAACAAGTAAGTGTCCACCACTTGTTATTTCACTGAAGATTTTTTTACAATAGCTTAATAAAAATAATGTCAAGCAAGATTTCTTGTAAGAGTCTTATAAGATTTTATAAGAATTCTTATAAGATTATTATTATTTTCTTTTCTTGAGACCGGCTGTCACCCAGGCCGGAGTGCAATGGTGCCTGACCTCAGCTCACTGCAACCTCCGCCTCCTGGGTTCAAGCAATTCTCTCTGTCTCAGCTTCCCAGTAGCTGGGATTACAGGTGCTCACCACCACGCCCAGCTATTTTTGTATTTTTAGTACGGATGGGGCTTCGCCATGTTGGCCAGGCTGGTATTAAACTCCTGACCTCAGGTGATCTTCCCTCCTTGGCCTCCCAAAGTGCTGGGATTACAGGTGTGAGCCAAAAGATTTCTTATATTTAATACCAAGTTTTGTTTAGCAGGGAGCAAGTCAGTTTTTCTGCTCTTATATATATAAAGGCACTTACTGAGAAAGAATAATGGGAGACCAAGAGCCCCAAAGACCTTAAGGAAGAAGTCTCTATCTAGTATTAGGCAGAGGAGGCCCAAGACCACCATACCAACTACAGAATCAGGTGCCTTCAGGAGCCCCAGAAACGCCCAGAGGGCCTGGGTGGAATCTACTCACAGAGCAAGTGTGAAGGACACCATGTGCCATTTGTTTTGCTTTCTTTGACGGTGATGTTTCAAATATTAAAGTATTGAGATACTGTCTTATGAAGAGATATAATACACATCTAGCGCTCTAAAGGCAGATGATATGGTTTTGCAAATATAAGCAAATAGATGACAGAATGCTCTTGAATAAGTTGGCTTCATGCAGGAGGAAAGGGAGCACTGTATCCCAAAATAAAGGGTGAACTAAGATCATGGGATGGTGGGATTTGCATGGTAGTGAGCTCACACAAGCAGTGAGACCAAAAGAGGAGCAGAGGCAAAAGTGAAGCTTGAGTTGGTCTTCAGAATTAAAAATGTGTTTTTCTAGAGAAATAAATTGTTAACTTTTGTCATAAGGCATTTTCTAATTAACATAATACACTGTAATATTAGTTATGCGTGACATTCTTTTCAGTCTCAGGAAGTGGCTTCTATACCTAGTGCCTCTCCTGTGGCTCTGGTGTGTTCTCTTTCCACACAGGAGAGAGCCGCACTGCCTCATTAGTGGTATGTCAGCATCCAGCACTCCCAGCTCCTTCCTCATGTACTACTAACCAAGCAAGAGGCTCTCTTGGACCTTATCAGACAAGGAAGAATTGAATGTACTAAGTCTAAGTAAAGAAAAACATCTCTCAACTATTCATGGACCCATAGATCTGCTATCTTCTTTCAAGAACATCAAGGTCTGTTGGTTAATTCATATAAAACTGTCAGGAACTTTTTATTATGTTGATAAGGGAAACACTTCCTTTGATGTCTGGCCAGTCCGGTGACGAATACCCTGCACGGACCAGGCACCAGAGATGGCACTGTTACGTAATACAGGATGCGATTCTGGGATGTGAGAAGGCTGCCAGGGACAAACCACAGATGGATTTGAAATTCAACAGTCTGGCGAGACAGGACAGAAAGACTTAAACAAAAAACATCACTACTTGCGTTAATACTTTCAGCTGAATCCCACTAAAATTTATGTAACTCTACTTTCTTTTTATGTTCCAGGAATATTATCATTGAAAGTATTAGTTAATTTCATAATTTGTGTACATAAGCTTAACCAGAGTCCGTCAATGGAACAAGGCAAGATAAAGTCCTTGAAATAAAGCAAAATAATACATTTCCAACAGATTATTTACACAGGCTTCTAAAACTTTCAAAGGCTAATATATATGCAAATAATGAATGGCTACGAACTTCCAGAGAAGATGATTTTAAGTTACAAGGTGTGTTTAATAGGGCCATCAAATACTCTTTTTTCCCTTTCTCTCTCAAGGATCTGGGTCAAGAACAGAGGAAGAGAATTCACTTTCATTAGTTTCTAAGGGTTCAAAATGCCCACAGAACACGCACTAGGTTTGACAAAAGTTTACCATTCAACTTAGAGACACACATTATAAAACAGGAAATAGTATATTTCCTAAAGATTCCTTTCTATGCTGCATGGAGGCATCTAGAATCTCCCCCCAAAACCTCTCCTTATAGAAGTTTCTTTTCATGTTTGGAGGTTCCTATGCAGTGGTATCATCACAGCAGTGGTATCAAGATGTCATCCATCCATAACTAGGAATTTGTGAATGTTCTGGGAGTACCTGATAGACATGTATTTTGCAGGTATCTCAATCTACTGTGGCATATTCACTCTAGGAACCAAGGTCTCTAAAGAAGTCTTCTGGGAATAGCATAATTGCCTCTGGCACATTTTGAAGTTTCCAATTGCACAGAGGCTGTGGGAATCAGGCAGCAGAGCAACCACAGTCCATGGCATCTCTGGGAGCTATTCCTGGGTCTCTCTCAGAAACATTTGGAACCTACGATACTGGACATGTGGATGCCACCAGCCGAGTTCCCACTGCTGAAGACAGTGCTGGGCTGAACAAGCCATGTGGGTTTTGATATTCCTCCATGCTGAACTGCTCATGGGGCCAGTTGTAACTAGCAGAGAAAGATGCTCAGATTTCTCACTTTCATTATGATCCTGAGACAAAGCTCCTAAGAAAGGATAATCTTCCCAGACATCTTTAATGTTTAAAGAGGCCACCCCTTCTGATTATTACTTTTAATTAACATTTATTAATAATTAAGAAAATCAAATACTGTGCTTATAAAATGGATGTATCTACCTGAGAAAATCAACCGATTTCACTTTACTAGTTATCATTTCTCTCTTTTTTCCATTTGTAAACCTCTCCTCTTCAGACTGCTGGTTTTAGAGTCACTAGTTGGAGCCTAAGTGCTGGTTCTAGACATTGAGCTACACTAAAGTAAATAATACGGGTTTCTCTTTATTTTACCTTTCTTATCTTCTGCCTTTTCCTCCAGAGGTGGTGTTTTTTCAGAAACAGAGCCATTACCTTCTTCAGACTTTACTACATTTTCCTCTCGGGTAGATTCCTCTCCGATGGGTATCATGTGCCCGTTTGAATTTTCAAAGTTAACTGTTACATCTCCATCTAAAATGGGAAAGAAACACCTAGATGTCTAACTTGCTGGCTTTCTTAAAAACAAGTTTTCCAGTTACTAGGATTGTAGAATTTGGATTCATGTTTCAGTCCCTGGGAACCAAATACACCCTGCACTGTTTCACCAGTTTATTCAAAACAAAAGAGCTAGAAAATCCTCAGACTTGAGGAAAAGCTGCTATGGAGGGAATATCTATGCATCATTTCAAGACAATAGGAATGATCATCCTAATTATGCAATATCCCAGGGCAGCAGAGTCCCTCTGTTCTGGTTCTTAGGTTTGGCTGAAGTCAATACTTATGTGTTTCTTCGTCATTCAGAAATAAAATGGCGAGAGGAATAATCTGGAAAATGGAATAAACATTTTACAAGCACCAAAAACACAAGGTGAATGCAAACACACAAATAACATGAAATGTAATTACACATACAAACAATAAGTGGGAGAATATGAAAATTTCCAAGTACTACTGGTTCCAGAATATATTAAGTATATGATGTGCTAACTTCACACAGTAATATAACTTCTACTCTATATTCAGGGAAAAGACGATAAAAGGCTATTTTTATTATTATTTCTTTATTTATGGAAAGATTAAAGTATACTCAGGTAATTATTATATATAACTAGCCAAAAAGTCCGTAAGTTGTCCTAAAAATAATTTGAATACATTCAAGAAAAAAAAGCACACATAAAAAAGTAATCACAAAGGAATTTTTCAAAACTGTAATGGACACAATGTTGAATATATATCTAAATCATAAATGACTAATTTTAACTCCCATATTTCCATAATTCCTGGGGGTTTCTAAAGTGAAAGAGACTTTGCAGAAACGTTTAGTTCAGTGATTCTTGAAAAGATTAACCCTACTTTATATTTGGAAAATTTTAAGAGGCTTTGCTACCATTGTAAAAGAAAAATTAATGAATGGAAGGTTTGCGCAAACCTAAAAATCTGCTTAATTAGAGCTCTTCCTATTTTTACTACTCTTATCTTGGCAATCATTATAAAACAGAAACCATTTCCCAAATTGTCATTAAATATGATTGAATTGTTTTGGCTTAACAATAAAATCCATTTGCCTTCTGAACAAACAGGTATGACATTTTAATACATCAACCACATATCATGAAATTATGTCATTTTTAGAATGAAAAAGCAAACGTTGCTTAGTCATATAACTCCCAATAACCTATAACTGAGTCCTGTGTAAAACTAAAATAAACAATAATTGAAGGTAATGCCATTACAAGTAAATCTCAACTATTTTAATAAAATTAAAGTAAGAATTTTTTAAAGACTATATGTCAAACAAAGAGAACCCAAATGATTCTTAATTCCTGTTATTAAATCCCAAGAAATTAGCTATAAAAAGGAGAACACAATATATCCAGATAAAATAAAAATGAAGAATCAAAAATTCCAAACAAAATAGAAAACCACTTGCTTATACATAAAAATCTTCAGTTTTTAGGTAACTCAAATATAAATTTATCTTTGTTTTCTTTGACTTTAGTTGGTAATAAAAGTATATTGAAGTCATGTCAATGACAATTTAGTTCTATTTTAAGCATTATTATATTAAAATTCTTTAATTAAATAACTTATTTATTAAATTTAGAAAAACCTAGAGAGAAATTTTAATAGTCATGACACAAGAAGAAATTGGATTAGCATATGATAGAGAGAAATAGTCAACAATGTGGAAAATACTTACTTTGAGGCATGAAATAAAGCCAGTTAGTATGAAAATAATTGTAGAAAAAAGAGACACATTTGTGATAAATATGGAATTCAAGAACAAAACAGAGGGGAAGTAAAGTTATTAATTAGTTGGTGTGTATATTGAAAAGGTTTTCTAGTATTGAGTGTTAAGGAAGTTGTTTTAGAATTAAAATAAGTTAAATCCTTGATATAGTGTATGTGTGTAAGTAAAATACAAGCAGAGCAAAGGAAAGCAAGAAGGTGCTGAGCTGAATGGCAGGTGACAATAAGCGGCCCAAGTCAACACGTCTCACGGGAGCAAAGGAAAAAGAAAACTCACAACGTAGTTATCAGCTTAAAGTAAAATGAGAGATAAAGCACAAACAGGAAAAGGAGCACGAGGGTGTTTGAAGGGGGTCACCTCCTTCTAGTAAACAGGTGTAGTGGGGATATATTATAGTTAAAGGAAGGACAGATAGAAAGAGAAAATCATGTATGACCAAAAGGCAAGTGATAAAAGTCCACAGTGGGAGAAAAGGAAAGGACGGTGCACAGGCAAAACCACCTCCACACCCTCATGTCAAAAGCTAAGGGAAAAGATGGAGGGAAAAAAGCAGAGGTAAGCAGCAAACTTGTACTAGATCATAGACTTCCCTGGAGAGAAGACGAATCACTGAACTTTTAGGTTGAAGGTATGTTTGGATGTAAAAAAGAGAACCTAAAAAGAAAAATAATAATAACTGGGAGAGTATGGGACATGATGGGATGGGGTCAAACTCAGGGTAGCTAGGGGGATTTTTAAAGTCTATCTGGCTGACTGAATAAAGGGCTTGATGGACAGACACTGTCAAGAGCAGAGGCAAGGTCAAGAAGATCAAGGCAAAGAACGAATCTTCACTGGCAGCAGAAAGAAGGTTGTTACCAAGAACAGCAGCTTCTAGTCTCTCAGACTGAAATTCTCCAGATAATTGCTTTTGGGAAAATTACAGAAAACTATTTTCTCCAGCCCTCAGCTGAAAAGGGGAAGGTCTCCATTTACCACTGACATCCTCAGGAACCTTCAACCATTAGATAATTTCTACAGTTCTAGATAGGGAAGATGCAAAAGCTGCAAAGTAAAATCTAGTAGTTTATGACTTCTCAAACATTAAGCCTATTATTATATTATGTTAGGTTAAAAAAAGTTTTGTTCTTTTATGTTTTAAAACTTTTACTTTCCACTGCAAAAGTTAAATAACAAGATCAGAGAGTCAGATTTCTGAGAAGTATATGTTGGCCCAAGAAATTATAATCTATGAGGCAAACAGTTTCACTGATTAGGCAGAATAAAAATCATTTCTTTAAACTGACTCTTGCTACTTGGTTTTTAGAAAGAGCAAATTCTTTTTCTACCTACAAATTTTAATTAGGAAAAAAAGATGGGCTTTGAATCTTCACCTTTAAACCCATTAACAGTTTCAATCGTAAAATTTTCCATTTTGTACTTTCCTTAAAATATTTCTAAACAAATGATGCCTAATAAGTGCATTGGCCCATCCCATAAAGCTGATGGCCCAGTGTTAAGCTTTCAATGGGTGTATTATTTCTCTATTGCCTTCAGAGACATTGGACAGGGGATTAATTTTGATATTGCAAGTCTACTTTTAAGTTTCAAAAGTTAGAAATATGCATTTTTAACTCTTAAAAGTCTCAAACAGGAAATAAGTAGCTTCAAAATAATAGAAAAACAGGGAAAACATAAAATTCATTCATAAAGTAGAGTAAGAAAAGTTTGACAGGTCAGAAATTGAAGTAAAATACCTAAAATTGCGAGGGCTTAAGAAAATGCTACTATTCACTCCAGAGTTCCCTATTTTCTTTGAATCAGGAGAAAAACAGGAAAGCATTTTTCAGCTCCACTCTGGAATTATTCAGATGCTGGAAAAAGCATGTCATTTTGATTTACAAATAGTGAATGCCAAAAAATGTTAAGTCCTTTGCAAGGAACATATATCAGGAAAACAGCTGTATTATTATTTCAATTTCAATTTCAATTCTAAATTAATAGCATTTTATTTGTTCCCATAAAAGTACAATAATAATACTTTATTATTACAGTAAATGTGAGGTGAAGGGAGGCATGAGATAAATCAACAATGTTGCAACAAAATGTCCTTTAATTTTAAATTTAATAGTGGAAGGGATGAAAATGATTAGGTATTATTTATTTGGAGAAATAACCAATGTTAGTGTCTTCTTTTAAGGGTCAGTACCAGTTTCTATCTGATCTTTGTCTTTTCTGAACAAAGTTCCTCCTTGGGAGGATAGAGAAAAAAAGAGAAGATCAGAGATAGGGGAAAAAATTAGAAATAATCATTGCTAGGGAAAGATTCAGAGAAATGAAAAGAGAACAATACTGCAAAATTACTTGAGAGAAGGCAGAAAGCAGGTTAGTTTAGTCTGCCTATTCATGCTTTATTGATTGTACATTTCAGTGTTATTATAGAGTGCAAAGGACAAGAGGTATGTGTGCCTTCTCTCTTCTGTTTTATTGGTAGTCTTAAGAAACAAAATAGCATGAACCAAGCTAAAACTTTGCATTTACTCAAACACATGAGTTTCATGTGAATAGAAAGACTGAAGCTCAAGAATACAGAAGAGAAGGAGCCATAAGCACTTGTATCTCATCTGTATCGGCCTCGGATGTACCTTTGCAGAGTTTTAGGTTTAGAATGACATATGGTGACGGATTCACCAGGAAAGTCACTAGAATTTTGTAGTACTTCAGATTCTCTGCAGCTCACAAAGGCATCACCAATGGGAGCAAGGCTCTTGGAATGCAGTAATCACTGCTTTACCTTACAAAGACCATGATCATTTTAAATTTCAAAAGAAAACAAAAGAAAGACCAAAGAATGAAGGACCGAAATATTTAAAATGTATGATTAATTTCCTCACCTTGATCAGGCAATTCCTTAAGAACTCCCCTTCTTATCAGCTCCTCTCTACTTTGTCGTGTGGATATCTTCCTTTCTAATACTTTTAAAAAGAACAAGCACAAGTAAGAATCAAGTCATTCCTTAAGATAATTATGAAAAACATTCCAAGTAGAATTGAGCACATTTATTCTGCTCACATGAGGGCTCAAACTCGTTTTCTTAGTTGCTTAACAAAACACATGATCAGAGTTGAATCAACACAGCTATGACAAAAGCAAATGGCTGCAGCTCATGATCTGAAGTCCAGCCGCCATCCCTGGTCTTTCAAATGGCCACCTTTGGCCTGGCTTCCAGACATATTATTCCATACCAGCTAGAGAGCATAAAGGCTGCTTCTAACGTTGAAGCTAGAAATGTCGCATTCTAAAACACATGATTCTATGGATGTGCAGTGTATGTAGAAGATATGTATGCTTACATTAAAAAAACATAAACATTCAGTAAATATTCTGGGTAACCCATTTGCATTCCAGGAAAATGAATTATTTTCTAGTGTTTTCTCTCTCACTCCATCTATTACAAAAGCCCAACACATCATATTTCTATTACTCTTTCTCCTGCATTCTCACTAATTCTGGAGAGTTCTGGTATATTACCTGACAATCCCCAGGTCTTAGGAGGATGGAGAAGGCAATTAAGAATAATCAGCTTTCAGCCAGGAACAGTGGCTCATGCCTGTAATCCCAGCACTTTGGGGGGCTGAGGTGGGTGGATCACCTGAGGTCAGGAGTTCGAGACCAGCCTGGCCAACATGGCAAAACCCCATCTCCAAAAAATACAAAAATTAGCTGGGCATAGTGGTGGGCACCTGTAACCCCAGCTATTCAGGAGGCTGAGGCAGGAAAACCATTTGAACCCAGGAGGCAGAGGCTGCAGTGAGCCAAGATCCCACCATTGCACTCCAGCCTGGGCAACAAGAGCGAAACTCCATCTCAGAAAAAAAAAAATAATAATAATAATCAGTTTTCACAGACATGTAAAGTCATGGGAATCTTAATATCGATTCTTCTTCTGGAAGAAATGTAAACTCCTGGTAGAACTTCAAACTGGGGCTTGGGAGCTTAGTAGTGTTCTCCTGAGTGTGTATAGTATTAAATCCTGTGCTCTACATGTCCATGCAACTGCAAAGTCCATTCCTCACTTTCAGGGGCCAAGAAGGTGCGTAAAATTAACACGTGGTCATGTCATCTCCTAATCCTGAGTCAGCATTTCCCAAAGTGTGTTCTGCAGAACTCTATTTCCTCCAGACCCTCTGTTTAAAAATGTACTTTGACACAGCAGCGAAGGGCCAGATAAGGAGTCTAGAGCACTTTGAAGAGCAGGAAAGCTAAACTGTTAGAGAACAGGCAGCTACAGTAGCATGAGATTTCTGACGCTCCCCGATTCCTGCTCCTGGCCTCATAATCTGCAAATCCTGGAACTACTCTAGACAACATCATTTCAACTAAACTAAAGCCATTACCCCAAACCAGGCCTTGACACATCCAAAGGGAGCAACTGATAACACTAAGAAGACATTTGTGATAACACTAAGAACATGTTTGCTCAGAGGCTCCAGGGCCTCAAGCAAGGACACTGATAGGAGACAGGGTGGGAGGACGTGCCGTGGGCAGCCAGCTTTGTAGTAAGTGCATGAAAGTCTTCCATAGGTGTTTCCTAATTGCATGCACCACAGAATAGCAACACTTAGTTTCTTGAAGAACCTGGATTTTTTTTCCTTTCTGATAACTAGAAATTGTGTATTCCTGTTTTAAATCCTGGTTGCTAGAAAGATCAGAGTAAAACTGGATATTTGACACAGACTTCATATGACAATTCGTGGATGGAATCTGTTTCCTCCTTCTCTAAAACCTGACTTTATTTACATTTTATGTACAATATAGAAGCTCTTTACTGTAAGTTTTGTCAAACTTTTTTTGGATAGAATCAGAATAGAAACAAACAGGAAAATGAGTGAATGAATGAATATATGGTCAAAAGAAGGACAATGAACAGCTTATGGGTTTAAAAGGAGACATACACAGAAGGCTTCCCTCCCTTTCTTTGGATTCCTCACTCACTCCATTCTTCCGGTGCCTTCCAGAAGCAAGTAACAACAGCTCACTTAAAGGTTAGTGATTTCAGTGAAAAAAGTTATCCAGGCAAGGAGTTTTTTTGTTTGTTTGTTTTTTGTTGTTTTTAACTGGGAGTTCTATTATGTAAAAAGAGTGCTGTTATTTAAATACAGTTTCAATTTGTTCAGCCTCTGGTCCAAGAGGAGAGAACTCTTATCAATGCAGGAAGCCAAAGAACACCCACAGTGACAGGTGGGACACTGCTGGGATTTTGCAGGTGCTTTAGAAGGACCTTGACCACTGTAGCCTCCCAGGGATTGTAAAAACCCATTCATGCTTGACTGGGCTCTGAGGAGTGGCAGGATTCTGTAGACCTCCTCCAACAGTTGTCTTGGACTCCATTCCTGGGGACAGGCCCAGAGATTCATGGCTGTTCTGCCCTAAACCTGAGGATGAAGGTGGCAAGAAGGCAAGAGCAAGTGCCTCTGGCTTAGGGATCAGGCCACATTCTCGCAAACCAAATGCACTGCCAATTCAGAATTCAATCATTGTGGCTGTCTTCCTAATCGGCCCTTTGCTCATAAAAAACAAAACTTTTACTTGTTTGCTGCTTCTTTAAAATTATCCAAAACACAAAATGGCTACCAGAAGTCCTGGATTCTAGTCCTTGAATTCCTATAACTAGTTGAGTGACCCTGGGCAGTCACTTTTGAGTTCCTGGGCCTCTAATCCATTATCTGTAAAATAACGGACAAAATTGAAGGATCACTAAGGACAATTCATAAAGCTCAAATGCTGTGTGATCCTGTATCATTAATCGAGGCTGTCTGTAATCTCTGCTTCGGGCACCTTTTAAAACGTTCATTCTTGCACTAAAAAATCATCTGATAGCCTGGAATATACCAGGTTTCTTATTCTGCCTTTCCATTATGGATCCCGGAGGATTCTTTAGTTTTAGTTTTGAGTTTTCTTTTGCTTAAATTCTAATTTAGTCTCAGCTAAAAATTCCCCCTTTCTTCCTTGTAAACTAAAAATTCCCCCTCTTTTCTTTCTTGTAAACTCTGGAGCTTTGAAGCAGCAGCCTTGGCTTCCTGCCAAGAATCAAAACCAACAGCTTTGTTCTTTTGCTCTAATTCCTATAAACAGGCTCTGATAGGAAAATGCCGTTGGCTATTTGTTTGGTCTTTGGCTGAGAGCATGTTTAACACACAATGCGGATACCTGTGTACAGGGCCAATGAGAACAAACTGCAGGCGACTGAGCACGGAAAGTATGTTGCTGGGGCACAACATTCCAACCACCCTCTCACAGCAGTACAAGTATCTCATTCTTCACCTTTTAAAATATTTGCCTCTTGTTTATATAGTGCCTGCATGTTTGCAGAGCACATTCACTGGACACTTTTCCATGGGCTCAGAGGGGGTTTGCATTGCAATGAATCTGAGAGGTCATTCTAGTTCAACACACCGCACAAAGCAGGCGCTATCTCAGAATATTCCTGAGATGTGCTCACCTGCTCAAAATCATTCAGAGGGAAGATGCTCATTTTAAGGCACAGCCCACTTCAGTGTCAATCACCCTCATTTTGAGGAAGGTATTCCAGAGAAGGAGTCAAATCGCACGCCCTGTAACTTCTGCACATTAGTCTAACCCAAGCTCTCTGTAGCTGTGGACTAGAGTCAGTTGTTTGTGAGCAGAAAACGGCATCAGTCGGCTCCAGGTCATCACTGAGAGCCTGCTGTTATTGCAGCCTGCTTGAATCTGATCCCAAGTATCCCACCAGCTGCTCTTTGACTTTGAAGCTCACACCAATCTATGCACAGAAATCTATGCACCGATCTATGCACCACAGCTACAGCATAACCAAGATACTGCCAGGGAAGATGCTAGTGGGGCACGGGTCGCTGAATGTAGCTGAATACAGTAGCTAAGGTGTCTCCATGAAAAGTATTACCACCAGTCGAATAAATAAATGGCCCATGGCCTGTCACTTTTATCCCAACTGGAAAAGCATACGAGCTTTTTTATACCAAGATCAAACAAAGCCATGATTTCTGCATCACTCTGCATTGGGCTAATTGACGTTTTGACAGTTCAATTCTGATAACAACAGTGCACACTCTAATTCTCTCTGGGAAGCGAAGGAAGCACTGCCCTGCATTTTCCTGACTTCATGCTTATACTCTGGTAATCTTCCCAAAACTTCCCATGGCTGCTCATCTCACTTCCAATAATCTCTGAACTCACCGCAGCACCTTACGCTGTCCCTCCTATCACGTGCCTGGCTCCTAAACACTTCCTTCTAGCTTTCGGCTTCAATTCCTTGGGGCCCCGCTGCTTCTCCCCTGAGGCGTGGCCCCCTGCATGGTGGCCTCTGTCCTTCCCAGGAGGCCATCTCTCCAGACACCTGCTAGACTCACTCCATCTTGTCCCACAAGTCCCTGCTCAAAGGTCACCTTAGTAGAAGTCCCTTCCCTGAACTTCTGGTATAGAATGGTTATTCCCCTTCCCAACTTTATCTCTTCTTTTCGGGCAAAACCCATCATCACCTCCTAACATATGTAAGTATCATCTCGTTGAGAATCAAAATTCTGTTTTGCTTACTGCTGTGTCCCCAACGTTTACTTACAGGCTGTTGGCTTTGTAAAAATATGTGTATTTGTTGAATAAAATAAAAGAAAATAAGCTAATCATGATAACGGTATTGTTTCTGCCCCTTCCCAGTCCTCGATTTGGGATAAAGGAAGTGAGACTTGTGGCAAAACCCTGAGGGACAAGAATCTTCTGTCTTCTTCCTCCCTAATTTTTGGCTGGGCCAGTCCTAGGGAAAAAAATCTCAACCTTCTGTCCCATGGATAATCTGAAAAAGTCTCTGTATGCACTGAAGAAGGGAGCTCACAGTGTGTAGATGACAAACACCAGCAACTAGCAGGGTGAAGTTCACGACTGGGCTCCCCATAAATTAGAAATGATTTATGATGTCCTT